TCGAGAATGCCGCTGTGCATGCATCAGTGAACTGGAAGGGGGCATTCTTCTCAAGAAGCTTAGTCAGGGGCAGAGTGATCTTCGAAAAATCTTTGATGAACCACCTGTAGAACCCTGCATGGCCTAAACAACTCCTGACCCCCCTAACAGAAGTAGGAGGATGCAGCTTGCTGATAGTCTCAATCTTTGCTCTGTCCACCTCAATCACCATCTTGAAGATCTTATGCCGCATAACTATGCCTTCGCGAACCATGAAGTGGCACTTCTCCCAACTCAGTGCCAGGTTTGTTTCTTCACACCGTTTAAGGACGAGTTCAAGTTTATGGAAACAGTGAGAGAATGAGTCTCCATAAACCGAAAAATCATCCATAAACACCTCCATAATATCGCCGACTAGACGGTCAAAGATGGTGAGCATGCATGGCTGAAAAGTGGCAGGGGCATTGCATAGCCCAAATGGGATCCTCCAGTAGGAAAATGTGCCGAATGGGCAGGTGAAAGTGGTCTTCGCCTGGTCTTCCGGTGCAATGGCGATTTAGAAATACCCGGACATCCCATCCAGGAAACAGTAGAACTCGTGCCCCGCCATTCTGTCCAGCATCTGGTCTATGAATGGCAGCGGAAAGTGGTCCTTCCAAGTTGTAACATCCCGTTTCGGCAAAACCCATATTTCGTTCGGTAGAAAGTTCACGATTTAAAATCGAGCGTTTTGATAGTTTTTCGGCCAATATCGAATTATCGATCGATCGGATAAGTATACGTATATATATATAAAAGCGGTCGGGCCGCCTATATATAATCCTTCCTTCCCTATCCATTTTAATTCTCATTATCTTTTCTAATTTCCATCCGAGAGAAGCAAAGAAACAAAGAGCGTACAGGGGAGCTCGGGGAGAATTTCCAAAGCTCGAATCTTGAGCTCTAGTGATCCGAAAATTCTGTAAGTAATGCCTAATTCATCTATACATCGTGATTTATCGATTTAGAGCTTTAAAACGAGTTTTTGGTTCAGGAATTTCTTGAATTCCCGATAAGCTAAATTAGGGTTTCGAAGTATCCAGAAGCCGGATTGAGCCCAAATTTCATATACGAGCTTCCTGCAGCGAGGCAATCAATCCTCTAGTTCTAATCCCTGAATTTCGGCAACTATTTAGGTCGGGGTCCAAATCGCCGAATTTAGCTCCGACCAGGGTTTGATGTGTTTTTATCGAGAATTTGATCCGGAGCCTAGAACTAATATTGACAGGGATACTGCAGGGGATATTAGGACGGTCTCAGATTTTAATTCGGGGTTCGTTCGTGAAATCTATGTTTTAGTATGGAAAGGTTAAACCGGTGTTTGAACGACCAAAACTGGTGAGGGATTAGCACGGCATACCGGGTTTGTCGTATCACGTTAATTATACTTATGCTTAGAAATGATCTAGGTGAACTAGAATGGCATGATTAGGGGTGTATGGACCTTTCTGCTATATGATGAACTATAGACTTCTGTATGATATTATTGACTTGCCCTAATTGATATGGACCTTGTTTATGTTGATGATTCCATATATGTTGACAGATGTGGGTTTAATTGTGAATATGTCTTATGATGGTTCGAGAAGGTGATTGGATATGATTTTTCATGATTGTTGTATTTGGATGCACAAGTGGGAAAATATATATTCCTTGGTGATATTATGATATTTTAAGGAGGATGACTTGCACAAGGGTTATCCCGAGGAAGTGCAATTATACGACTCCTGATTTACCTATGTTGAGCCAATTGTGGCCTGGTCAAGTACATATACAAGTAACGAATTATGATTAAGCAAGATGAGATATGAATCATGTATAAGGATACCAAGTAAGAGTACTTTGGTCTCATGGTCAATTACATAGTAATTAGGGCTCCCCATGCTATTACTCTGTTACGATATGTTATTTAACACCCCTGATGTGGTGTTGACCGTTGATTCATCATGAGATATGACCACACCCAGATTGGTGTTGAGTCCGATATGACCACACCCAGCGTGGTGTCAGGTCCGATATGACTACACCGGCAGTGGTGGGTCCGATATGACCACATCCACGAGATGTTTGGTCCGTATTCCCGGGAGAGTAATTAGCATGGATGTAGCTAGGCGCCTATGATTAAAACATGATAAGATGCATATGCATAAGTCAAGGTGGTTGAGTCTTTTGCCTATTGGGATATGAGGATGGCTGAGGTCCGATCCTAGTGTTTTAGCTTGATTGTTAGATGTATGATAGGGGTATGCTCTGTTATGAGCTCACGATGCTATGATTATCTCACTCAGCTATGAGCTGACCCTCTTTTATTCTTCTTCTCTGCTTGTGCTATGTGTAAGCAGATCATCAGCAGCAGTAGTAGATAAGTGTTAGGTGGGAGAGGAGCTAGAGTTGAAGTCAGGATGATGTATGGTCTTCAACTGTTCTGTGCTTGGACTACTACTCGGGATTTTGGCCAGTGATCCACACCTTTTTATAAAAATGTTTTGAGAACGTTTTTCATGTGCATACTAGTTTCTGATGTAGTGTGAGATATTGACAGGTGTGGAAAGTTGATGATATGTGTATATGTTGTGTAACTGTGTAAGTTGTGACGATTATGGTATGTATACGTATGGTATGCGGTTGTGGAGTATGAAAAGTGTGACTATGGCTAAGAAAAGCCAATGCATATGGTTGTGAGTATATATGTTTGTGATGAATTATTTTGCAGGATAAGTTGCAAGAACTGTTAGCCCATTACGCGAGTAATTCATGTCTAAATTTTATTTGGATAAATTTTGATAATTAATGTAACACCCGAGATTAATTCCGCTGCAATTGTATGAACAATATGATTATGAAAAACGTATAGGGTAGGGTGTTACATTTTGGTATCAGTGCCCGGTTCATCTTTTTGCTGTTATGGCGTACTCTACCTATGGGAGGTTAAACACTCCTAAGGAGGGGAGTACCCCATAATAACTTAAACTGGTAATTGAGTTTTGCATGATTGTGTGTATTAGTTTATTGGATGAAATTACATGCATCATGGTTTTCAAAATTGAGTTTTGAACTTATTGTTTTCAAGTAATTATTTTGGGAAATTTTTGTTTTAACCAAGTGAGAGATTTGGTGAAGAATGAATTTTGTGTGGATCAATCTAAGGCCAATATTTCCTTGTAGCTCGCACGAAAGTTGTGAAATTGTTCCTACTGACCAGTCGAGAGGAGTGGGGGTGGTTGATGCAAGACCGCCAGTATTAGACTATGCAAAGATGAAGAGTTTGGGTGGTAGGGACTTCAAGGGAGATGTGAGCCCGGATGCGTAGTAGAGTGGTAGAGAGAGATGGAAGATATGTTTGAGTATCTTTATGCAACCCCAGAGGAAAAAGTACAATATGTTGTTTTTCTCCTAAAGGGGTACGCGAGGAGCTGGTGGTCCTCAGTCTCTAGAGTTAATGGTGAACGAGTTCAGTTCACCTGGGAGGAATTCTTGAAGGCCTTTAAGACAGAGTTTATTCCCAAAGCTTTTATCAGGGCAAAGAATAATGAATTCGCCAACCTTAAGCAGGATAACATGACAGTTACTGAGTATACCATCAAGTTTGTTCGACTACTCTACTTTGAAGATGGGTTGGCGGATACTGAGCATAAGAAGAAGATGGGATACTTGCATGGTCTGCGCCTAGGATTGAAAAAAAAGATTCACGAGGTTGATGAAGAGAGCATGGCCACTATTAAGGAGGCAACACTTAAGTATGAAGCCTATGAAGTTGAGGGTAGAGAGGAAAACAAGGTCAAAGAAGAGGAGAAGAAGAGGAAGTTTGGAGTAAATTATGCTGGACCTCGTTACCCACCCCGGAGAGGTCCTAGCAGTTTTGGGAGAACACCGAGTCAATCTATGTCGGGAACATTATACAAGGCACCAGTTTACTAAGCCACACCGGCTCCAGTTTGTCAAGTTTGTAAGAAGAGACACTTTGTAGAGTGTTGGAGGTTTTCTGGAGTATGCTTTCAATGCGGCCAGCCGGGCCACATCATGAGGAACTGTCCTTATAGGGGAGGAGGAAGACCTACTCAGTCCGAACCTTCAGTGCACTTTAGTAGAGCCCCAGCCAGAGGTGGTTACCAGGGAGGCCGTAGTGGATTTCAGAGTGGTCGTGGTGGTTCACAGGGTGGTAGAGGTGGTGATCGAAATCAACCATCAGGAAGTGGTACGCAGGGTACCAGAGCACAGTGAGCACCGAGGGTTTATGCAATGACTCGAGGTGAGGCAGAAGTGGCACCAGAAGTTGTAACTGGTATGCTTTCTATCCTTGGCAAGCAATTATATGCTTTGATCGATACTGGTTCCTCTCACTCATTCATGTCTTGTACGTTTGCACATATGCTACGCTTAGTTCCAGATAAGCTAGGTTATACCTTATGTGTTAAAACACCCGTGGGAGATACCTTGAAGGTAGACTCAGTTATTAGAAGTTCCTTCATTTGTGTGGAAGGAGCTTTCCTAGCAGCAGATTTAATTCTGCTACCTTTTGATGAATTTGATGTCATCCTTGGAATGGACTTTCTGGCAACACATGAAGTTGTTGTGGATTGTCAAAAGAAAGAAGTGTTATTCAACACACCAGATAAAGGTCCTGTTGTATTCCGAGGCATTAAGAAAAAGGAGACTCATGGTTTTCTTTCTGCCTTGGAAGCTTTTCGATTAGTGAAGGAAGGTTGTGAAGCCTTTCTTGCTCAAGTTACTATTATAAATGATAAGAAGGTTGAGGATGTAGAGGTGGTAAGGGAGTTTCCTGATGTATTCCCCGAAGAACTTCCCGGCCTTCCACCAGAAAGGGAAGTAGAGTTTGATATTGAATTGGTACCTAGCACAACACCAATTTCAATGACACCATATAGAACGGCACCAATTGAGCTGAAGGAGCTTAAAGAAAAATTGCAAGAATTGCTAGACAAGGGGTTTATTCGACCTAGCATCTCACCTTAGGGTGCACCGGTTTTGTTTGTCAAGAAGAAAGATGGCTCCATGAGAATGTGCATTGACTACCGGAGGTTGAATAAGGCGACAGTGAAGAATCGTTATCCCCTTCCAAGAATAGATGATTTGTTTGATCAATTGTAGGGTGCATCAGTCTTTTCTAAGATTGATTTGAGGTCTGGATACCATCAACTGAAAGTGGCAGATGGAGCAACCTTAAAGACAACTTTTAGAACAAGATATGGGCATTATGAGTTCCTAGTAATGCCTTTTGGACTCACTAATGCGCCAGCGGTATTTATGGCTCTTATGAATAGAGTTTTCCATGAATATCTTGATAAGTTTGTGATTGCGTTCATAGACGATATTCTCATCTATTCTAAAAGCGAGGAGGAGCACAAAACTCACCTTAGAATTGTGCTGCAAATTCTAAGGGAGAAACAATTATATGCAAAATTCTCAAAATGTGAGTTTTGGCTGAAGGATGTAATATTTTTGGGACATGTAATTTCTAGAAGAGGCGTGGAGGTGGATCCGAAAAAGGTGGAAGCAGTGGTAAGTTGGACTCCACCAAAAGATGTGTCGGAGTTGAGAAGTTTTCTTGGCATGGCGAGTTACTATCGGCGGTTCGTAGAAGGATTTTCCAAAATTGCTGCACCATTGACTAAACTGTTGAGGAAGAATACCAAGTATGTTTGGGATGCATCATGTCAGAGGAGTTTTGATGAACTGAAGAAGAGATTGACCACATCACCAGTACTTGCACTACCTTCAAGTCAGGGAGAGTTTGTGGTGTATAGTGATGCCTCGTATCAAGGATTGGGTTGTGTGTTAATGCAAGATGGAAGAGTTATCGCATATGTGACACGCTAAAACACAACACCAAACTGCGACCAAGTGTAATCGCACACCGGGAATGCAGGAAAGTGGCAAGTTCTATTATCAACACTTTCTCTCTCTAAAACTCTGTTTTTGCTCCAAAAAGTCGACTCCCTCTGTTTTTTCTCGAATTTGCCTCAAAAATCCGATTCTGGGCGAATTACGGGCAGAATTACGACCGTAATTGTGGTCTGCCCGTAATTGCCCAAAACGCGCGTTTCACTTGACTCGGAAGAAGGTATTCACGGTCGTAATTTTCCAATTACCGCCAGTAATTACTTAATTACGACCATAATTCAAGTGACTCTTGCCCGTAATTGACTCTGCGACAGGAATTCTGGAAATTAGGCTCGACATTGAAATTACGGGCATGCCAGGGACAATTACGACCGTAATTGTGCAGGGGCTGCCCGTAATTTTCCCTTTAAAGCGCAATCCGACCTCCAAATGACCCGAAACTTGCGCCTATGCACCTCTTTACTTGCTAGGACCTGAAATACGCCAAAACAACACAACCTAGCATAAAATAGGCCAAGGAACAAGAAATTCGAGCTAAAATGGTCAGGAAACAAAGGTGAAAACATGTGCAAATACGAAGTTATCAATATGCCTCTAGGCAATTGCATCCTCATGAAGTAAATTATCCCACTCATGATTTGGAGTTGGCAGCGGTGGTATTTGCTCTCAAGATTTGGCGACATTATTTGTATGGTGAGACTTTTAAAATCTTAACTGATCACAAAAGCTTGAAGTATATTATGGATCAGAAGGATTTAAATAGTCGCCAGTGGAGATGGATAGAGTCGTCGAAAGATTATGATTTTACCATTGACTACCATCCAGGTAAAGCTAATGTAGTTGCTGATGCTCTGAGCAGAAAAGGCGAGAAGAATATAACGAATCTGGTTGATTTGAGGGCAATGAATGTGGATTTGGAAGTGGATGGTGTAACAGGGTTACTAGCTCGGTTGAACATTCGACCTTTGTTGCACGACAAAATTAGTGAGAAGCAGAAGGAGTACCCAGAGTTGGCAAAAATCATTCAAGACATTGAGGAAGTAAAAGAAAGCCCATTTGAAATGGTAGATGGCATGTTGAAGATGAATAAAAGAGCATGTGTTCCTAATGTTGATAACTTGAGGAAAGAGATCCTAGATGAAGCTCATTCTTCTGCTTATGCTATGCACCCAGGAGCAACTAAAATGTATCACACGATCAAACCATATTTTTGGTGGCGTGGGAAGAAAAAGTAAGCGGCTGAACATGTTTTCAAATGTCTGGTATGTCAGAAAGTTAAGGCAGAACATCAAGCTCCTGTAGGGAAACTGCAACCACTTCCAATTCCAGAATGGAAGTGGGAAAGAATCACATTGGATTTTGTATATGGTCTCCCATCATCAAGGGGAAAAGATGTAGTATGGGTTATTATGGACCGACTAACCAAATCGGCTCAATTTTTACCCATTAGGTGGAAACCATCATTGGAGCCTTTGCCTCAACTATATATTAAGGAGATCGTCAGATTGCATGGTGTGCCGATTTCTATTGTCTCTGATCGAGACCCGAGCTTCACATCTCGATTTTGGCAAAGTTTACATGATGCCTTGGGAACTAAATTGCATTTTACTTCAGCTTATCCTCAAACAGATGGGCAGAGTGAACGAACCATCCTTACCTTAGAGGAGTTACTTCGATCGTGTGTAATGCAATGGGAGGAATCATGGATTGACCATTTGCCTTAAGTGAGTTTGCTTACAACAACCAGTACCATAGTAGCTTGGGTGTTCCACCATATGAAGCACTTTTATGGGAGGAAGTGTAGAACACCATTATGTTGGGATGTAGAAGGAGCAAGGAAAATCTTAGGGCCAGAGATAGTCCAGATCACACTTGACAAGGTCAAGGAAATCGGAGCGTATGAGGGTGTCTCAAGATCGGCAGAAAGTTTATGTTGACGCGAATAGGCGTGAAGTTAATTTCGAAGTGGGTGAGAAAGTATTTCTCAAAGTGTCACCATGGAAAGGGGTGATGAGATTTGGTAAGAAAGGGAAACTTGCACCTCGGTATATTGGTACTTATGAAATCATAGAGAAGATTGGACCAGTGGCATATAAACTGGCATTGCCTCCAGAACTATCTCAAATCCACAATTTATTTCATGTTAGTATGCTAAAGAGGTACAAAGTGGATCCTTCCCATGTTATACAACCAGAAGATATCGAGTTGGGTCCAGATTTGACATTTGAAGAGGTTCCAGTTGAGATTGTTGATTACCAGATTAAGAATCTTCATAGGAAGGAAATCCCAATGTTGAAAGTGGTTTGGAGAAATCAAGATAGTGAGAGTGCTGCCTGGGAGACTGAAGCAAGTATGCGAGAGAAGTACCCTGAGGTAGTAGCAACCTACTTTGCAGGTTAACAATCTTTCCTAATAAGTTATGTTTTGAACTTGTTGATGTGCTTTTGTTGTGATAACCCGATATAGGTTTTTGAAACCTTATATTGGGAACTTGAGGTGTTATGTGTTACATTCTATGTTATGAATCGCCTAACCTAAGAGTTAGGTAATGGTTTATCTACGATAGACCATGTCAAGGGTAAGTGAGCGGACTTAGAATACAACTCAAGGATATATTTCGGGGACGAAATCTTTTAAGGAGGGTAGAATTGTAACATTCCATTCCGGCAAAACCCATATTTCGATCGCTAGAAAGTTCGCGATTTAAAATCAAGCGTTTTGATAGTATTTCGGCAAATATCGGATTATCGATCGATCGGATAAGTATACGTATTAATTATATATATATATATATATATATAAGTGGTCGGGCCGCCTATATATAATCCTTCCTTCCCTGTCCATCTTAATTCTCATCATCTTTTCTCATTTCCATCCGAGAGAAGCAGAGAAACAGAGAGAGTACAGGGGAGCTCGGGGAGAATTTACAAAGCTCGAATCTTGAGCTCTAGTGATCCAAAAATCCCGTAACTAATGCCTAATTCATCTATACATCGTGATTTATCGATTTAGAGCTTTAAAACGAGTTTTTTGTTCAGGAATTTCTTGAATTCCTGATAAGCTAAATTAGGGTTTCGGAGTATCCGTAAGCCGGATTGAGCCCAAATTTCATATACGAGCTTCTTGCAGCGAGGTAATCAATCCTCTAGTTCTAATCCCTGAATTTCGGCAACTATTTAGGTCGGGGCCCAAATCGCTGAATTTAGCTCAGACCAGGGTTTGATGTGTTTTTATCGAGAATTTGATCCGGAGCCTAAACTAATATTGACGGGGATACTGCAGGGGATATTAGGACGGTCTCGGATTTTAATTCGGGGTTCGTTCGTGAAATTGATGTTTTAGTACGGGAAGGTTAAACCGGTGTTTGAACGACCAGAACTGGTGAGGGATTAGCACGGCATACTGGGTTTGTCGTATCACGTTAATTATACTTATACTCGGAACTGATATAGGTGAACTAGAATGACATGATTAGGGGTGTATGGACCTTTCTGCTATATGATGAACTATAGACTTCTGTATGATATTATTGACTTGCCCTAATCGATATGGACCTTGTTTATGTTGATGATTCCATATATGTTGCCAGATGTGGGTTTAATTGTGAATATGTCTTATGATGGTTCGAGAAGGTGATTGGATATGATTTTTCATGATTGTTGTATTTGGATGCACAAGTGGGAAAATATATATTCCCTGGTGATATTATGATGTTTTAAGGAGGATGACTTGCACGAGGGTTATCCCAAGGAAGTGCAATTATACGACTCCTGATTTACCTATGTTGAGCCAATTGTGGCCTGGTCAAGTACAGATGCAAGTAACGAATTATGATTAAGTAAGATGATATATGGATCATGTATAAGGGTACCAAGTAAGAGTACTTTGGTCTATTACATCGTAATTAGGGCTCCCCATGCTATTACTCCGTTATGATATGTTATGTCACACCCCTGATGTGGTGTTGACCGTTGATTCATCATGAGATATGACCACACCCAGAGTGGTGTTGAGTCCGATATGACCACACCCAGCGTGGTGTCAGGTCCGATATGACTACACCGGCAGTGGTGGGTCCGATATGACCACATCCACGAGATGTTTGGTCCGTATTCCCAGGAGAGTAATTAGCATGGAAGTAGTCAGGCGCCTATGATTAAAACATGATAAGATGCATATGCATAAGTCAAGGTGGTTGAGTCTTTTGCCTATTGGGATATGAGGATGGTTGAGGTCCGATCCTAGTGTTTTGGATTGATTGTTAGATGTATGATAGAGGTATGCTCTGTTATGAACTCACGATGCTATGATTATCTCACTCAGCTATGAGCTGACCCTCTTTTATTCTTCTTCTCTACTTATGCTATGTGTAAGCAGATCATCTCCAGCAGTAGTAGATAAGTGTTAGGTAGGAAAGGAGCTAGAGTTGAGGCCAGGATGATGTATGGTCTTCAACTATTCTGTGCTTGGACTACTACTCAGGATTTTGGCCAGTGATCCACACCTTTTAGTAAAAATGTTTTGAGAACGTTTTTCATGTGCATACTAGCTTCTGATGTAGTGTGAGATATCCACAGGTGTGGAAAGTTGATGATATGTGTATATGTTGTGTAACTGTGTAAGTTGTGACGATTATGGTATGTATAAGTATGTTATGCAGTTGTGGAGTATGAAAAGTGTGACTATGGTTAAGAAAAGCCAATGCATATGGTTGTGAGTATATATGTTTGTGATGAATCATTTTGCAGGATAAGTTGCAAGAACTGTTAGCCCATTACGCGAGTAATTCATGTCTAAATTTTATTTGGATAAATTTTGATAATTAATGTAACACCCGAGATTAATTCCGCTGCAATTGTATGAACAATATGATTAGGCAAAACGTATAGGGTAGGGTGTTACACCCCTGCTCCAGCTATCGTGGCTCCAACCGACTAGGCCTCAAGGTAGGAAAATGGTCGTAGATCCAACACTGTAGTAAAGTCAGACAACCCGCTACTCCCTTAGCCTCCGCCCGGGAGGCAATACCAAGTTACCTGTACAGATAAGCAAGTGCTCCGGCATCTTCACAAACAAGTTGATAACAGCAGAAACGCGGTCCTTACTCTTATCTACGAAAAGTGTGGACCCAAGTAGCAAAAGAAGGTAACATTGAGCCTCTCTAGCTGCCGGACCACACTACTGCAAATGAGTCAAAGCTGCCACTTCCAACAAACCATATCCTCTGTACCACTTAGACTCTCTGGCAACCTCTCTAACCTGCGCCCCGTGGTCCAAATCATCACGATCTAATCCCAGTAGTGCTTGCATGTCAGCCTCCAGTGACCACTTCTCCAACTGCCTCGAATCTGCTACCATCACCTCTCCCTCAACCACAAGCCCAAGAATGTGAGCCACGTCGTGAAGGAGAATCGTCATCTCTCCAAATGGCATGTAGAAGGTGTTGGTATCCGGCTGCCACCTCTCCACAAATGCCGAGATGAGAGTAGTGTCCAGCTCGCTCTGGAAGGTGATATCAACAAGGTGAGCAAGGCCCGATGTCTCTATGGTAGTCCTAGCATTATCATTTGCCATCTCATAACCGTCTAGAACGTGCCGAAGCATCGAACTCCTGTCGTAGCAAGTGATCACCCCTCTATCAGCATGTCCGGTGTAAAGACGGTGGGAAACATGCCCAAGAAAGGTACAGAGCAAACTCGGGTCGCTCGGCCCTCCAGTACACGGTCCTCTAAGCTCCCAGGCCTCTCCCACATCAGCATTACCACTCTGGCCCTCACCAAGCTGTGGAGCTCTGTAGGAACGCCCTGCATGGTCTCTATAAATCCCAGTAACGACATGTGACGATCCGCTGGCGGCACCTCTATCTCTGATCGAACTGACTCGTGGAATGCGATACTCAACAACATCTGACTCATACTTCTCAGACTTGTCATCAATCTCGTATGAAGGCCCAAAGAGTGAACTATGATGATCCCTCGCCCCAAAGTTGTGACTGGAACAAGGTCCACTACCAGCCATACTAGACAACTGAAAATCAAACTGAGGAAAACGGTCTGCCCTCAAACTCATCGGTGTCACTAGCTGATGTGGTTGTGGCTCTGGCTCATGTTCTGAATCTGACTCTGACTCCGTCTCATCTCGATCATTTGGCTCCTTATTTCTCGTACTCATACTAATGTTACGCCCAATAAATCTTTTCTCTTTCGTGAATCTCTAGAATCACCAGATGACGCCATCTCTAAACATAGTCAATAATTTTCTATTAATCTCTTATAATAAATTATTTGTTGAGCAATTATTTGTTGTTTCATAGACTAATTATGATACATACAATTTGTTATCTAATAAATTTAACTAGATAGTTACTTTACTTAATACGATAGGTAGTTATTTAAATAATGATTTCAACTTATTTAGTTCTATAATTATTTAGATAATTACTATAACAAATTATCTATTAGCATAGTTAATAATTATCTATTAATCTCTTATAATAAATTATTTGATGAGCAATTTGTTCATAGTCATAATTTATCAATGACTAATTATGATACATACAACTTGTTATCTAATTAATTTAACTAGATAGTTACTTTACTAAATACAATAGATAGTTATTTAAATAATTATTTCATCTTACAAAATTAATAAAATAACACATTATATAATTATTATTCAACTAACAATTATATACTAATTATTCAACTGACAATTATATACTAATTATACAACCAACAATTATTTACTAATTATTCAACTATCAATATTAAACTAATTAAGATATTAACAATTGAATTTAAAATAAATATTTAATTAAACCAAACCAGTCAAACCCAATCAGACCGGTCCGACCAGGCCCAGCGAACGCGGTCCGCCTTCGGACCGCGTCCGCTCAGGCCAGGCAGACGGTGGCAAGCAAACGAAGAAAAAAAAATATTACCTGGGGGCGGCGACGACTGGAACAGCGGCGAGAGGGAGTTCGAGGATGGGAGATCTGCGGCGACTGCTGGAAGTTGGCAGGGTCGGCAGCGTCTGCTGGAAGTTGGTAGGGGCGGCGGTTTCCATGGCTGGCCGGAAAAAGAGGGGTCGGCGGCTGGATGAAGGGGAAGGTTTGGGGGTGGCTGTGTAAGGGAGGTGAGGGGTTAGATTGGGGTAGATAGATTTAGGGTTTTAAATTTAGGGTTTTAAATTAGGGTTAATTGCAAGGATGGTCACTGGGTTTACTAAAACCGTTCATGTTTGGTCACTACAAATATTTAATTCTATTCATGGTCATTAAGATTAGTTCAATAGTTCAAGTTTGGTCACTCTCCGTTAGTCTCCGTTAGTTTTTGCTGATGTGGCAGTCAACTATTATAGTTGACCGTTATGAGTGACGTGGCCATTAAAAAAATAATAAAATAATAAAATTTAAATATTTACAATTTCCACCTCATTTTACAACTATTAAAAAATAAAAAATTAAAACTTACCTCCACCATCTACGCCACCGTGGCCATGACGCGATCGTCTTTGCCGCCGCTCCTTCCTCAAAGTCGTCCTCAGCCTAACCTCTTCGCTGTCATCTTCATTATCATTTACTTCAGATTTGGACTTGTCAGAGTCATCATCACCATGACCTCCAGCCTATTATTCGTTACCAATCGAATTCAGGAAAGAAATTGGAAGAACGAAATCTGAAATATAAACAGGAAGCTATACCGGGACTAACTGAAGAAGAAAATAATTAAGCAGTATCTGTTTCTTGTTGTAAGCACCCATGGTCTTCTTGAAGGCTCTCGTTGAAGACAAACTGACCAATCTTATTGAATGTAGACAAAAGGTTTTAAATACATCAGACCCTAATCGACTACTTGCTGGAAAACAGAGTCCCATATCTACCGCCCACTACCCCTAAAGAAACGCCACTTACTAACTTAACTCCTAACAGAATTTGACTCAGCAAGCTTACACGATTGCTTGCTGTAACTTATCTATGCTAACCCCCAAACGACGACGAATCTAACTAAATGACTCAACCAAACACTCACGTGACAAACAACATATGGTTCTTATTCTAACATAGCCTCCCCTAAACTGAAAACAACTGAAAGAATCTTCAATGCCGACTAATCTCCAATCTGCAAATTTTGAACTTTGCAGTAGCAAATACATTAACACTAGCAGCAGCTTTAATCTTCTTTCTACGGCAACAACATGAAGATTTCCCAAAAAGAACTCCAGAATCACTATCACGATACTATCAATTTCTTCATTTGTCTCATAGTCATAGTTATCCAACTTCAGAATTCCTTCTTTAGCTAGAACACTCAAGAAGTGGAACCTCACTCTAATGTGCGTGCTTCTCATATTAACCACGTCATCACCATACTGGCTATTAGTATAGCCATTCAAACATATTTCCCAAGCTTCCTTGCTGTAAATGATTCCACAACCAAGAATGTTCTTTAAGTACCACATAAATGATTCTACAACGAATTGTTGGTACCAAGTATCCAATGCTCTTGAACCTGTAACACCACTAGAAGCTGCAAAGCTTCCAAAGCCAGCTGCAAAACTCATCAAACTGGTTATCATTAAGTAATTGACTAGACCAGATTTGTCAGATATAACATCTGATTCGTTACTGTCTCTGTGGTCATAGACTCGACCATATTCCAAATGTTCATCAGCTTGAGGAGTATGGTTTACAGTGGTTTCAGATTCACAATTTTCATATACTGCACTGTCAAGTGAGTGATCCTCTTTCAAATCAGGAGTGTGACCTGCAGTAGCTCCCTTAGTTTGATCAGTTCCTCCATTAACTCCATCTTCCATAACTACTCTTAGCTTCTCTTCATCATTAGCTTCTCTTGTACTAATCTCTTGGTTACCATTTAACACTGCAGCCTCCAGTACATCATCGTTGTCTAAACCAGAAAAATCCATCTCTCCTCCAATTTGCTTCATTTCAGGAGCATCAGTTTCAACACTAATCCCCATGTGATTAACCACCTGAATCAAGTCCTCGTTGTCAACAATCTTCTCAAGATCTTTATCCTGATGCACAATTTCTTCGACCACAACCACCTCATCTACTGCTGCTTTAATTCCAGAGATCATACTTTCGCCCACCTCTCCTACCGCAACTACACCAGACACGGGCAAATCAGTTTCAATATGAACAGCCTCAACAACTGAGTACCCTTCACGTATAGAATTCACATCAAATGTCTTAGCCAGTTCCTTGGCTTCTGGATCTGAAGTAACAGTGCCAGCATCTAAATTTTCATCACCATTACTACTAACAACCTTTCCAGTTCCAGGTTCGAAGACATCAGGTAGACTCTTATGCTTCTCACCTACTACTATCCGTGCTGAAAGTGTCGTGCTTTTGGCAGCTGAAGCTGTCTCCTGCACTTTTTGATCAGTAGGCCATTCATTCACCTCAAAATCATTCAAGTCATCTTCATGAACTTGAACTTGCAAGCACAAACAATGCATATCATTGGTTGTTTGTGATACAACCAACTCAGAGTTGAATATAAACATCTCATTCCTCATCTTTGTCTCCCACAAAAGGCCTTTCTCGTCATGAAAAACCTTACAAACCCCACCCTTGATGAGGAAGGTCAAACCCTTTTCTTGCATCTTGCCAACACTCAACAAATTCGTTTTTAACCCCGGCACATAAAATGCCTCCTGAATAACAACTGACTTGTGTTCAATTTTAAGCCTTATAACCCCTTTTCCAGCCACTTGCAATCGTGTTCCATTCCCTAATTTTACGTTACAAGAGAAAGAGGAATCAAGACTAGTGAACCAGTTTTTGTTACCTGTCATATGATGACTGCACCCTGAGTCTAGGAACCACCGGGTTTCTGTTTTCTCCACTGTTTGTGTCTCCTGAGATGTCACAAGTCTTGTTGGCAACTCCTCTTCTACTGGTTTCACACAAGTGAATAACAACATTTTTTCTTTCATATCTTCCCGAGCAGCAGCATATCTGCCAGAGTACTGAGCTTCAGAATCCCATTCTGGACACTCATCTCTAAAATGACCGAGCATGTGACACTTGAAGCATTTCACTGACTCTCTACTCAATAATATGCCAGAACCCCTTCTTCTGTCATGGTATGAACCTCGATCTTTTTCACTGTCATAAGTCACTTTCAAGGCACGTTCTTCTTCAATCCTTCCCTTGCTAAGCTTTTGTTCATGAACCAGCAACGAACTCTGCAAAGCATCCACTGTCAAAGTATCTATGTCCTTTGATTCCTCGATGGAACAAACGACATAATTGAACTTTTCCGTTAAAGTTCTTAATATTTTTTCTATAATCTTCACCTCATTCATCTGCTCACCATAGTTTCTCATGATATTGACCACCACCATAACCCTGCCGAAGTACTCGTTGATTGATTCTCCCGTCTCCATCTCTAGAATTTCAAAGTCTCTCCTGAGAGTCTGCAGACGAGCACGTTTAACCCTCTCATTACCATGATACCTCATCTTCATGGAGTCCCACAATTCCTTTGATGTAGATTTCCGTGTGATGGTCTTCAGAATTGACTTGTCAATGCTGCAGAATAGGTAGTTTTTAGCTTTCAAGTCTTTTAGCTGCAGATTCTCCAAGGCTTTAGCTTGAGCTGTAGTGAGCTCGACCCCGACTGGTGGTTCTTTGAAGCCATCACATATCACATCCCAGTACTCTTTTGATCTCAATAAGTTCTCCATCAACAAGCTCCAGTGATCATAATCACCATCAAATCTAGGTATACATATCTGTGCAGAGCTACCAAACTCTGTCATCCTTACCGCAATCAAATTTATTCACCAAGCTCTCTTGTTTCCCAATCTCAGTCTGAAAAGAAAAAACAGACGCACTCACTCTTACACAATAATTTGAGGTTTCACTCACCTCCTTTTGTGTTCTTCCCTATATCACTCTTGTTTCCTGGATCCCAGTTCTGCAATCAGACTTGCAGAAGTTCTCTCTCAACTCAAAAACCTGGTTACAGTTTGCAAGAGGGCTCTGATACCACAATGAAGGCTCTCGTTGAAGACAAACTGACCAATCTTATTGAATGTAGACAAAAGGTTTTAAATACATCAGACCCTAATCGACTACTTGCTGGAAAACAGAGTCCCATATCTACCGCCCACTACCCCTAAAGAAACGCCACTTACTAACTTAACTCCTAACAGAATTTGACTCAGCAAGCTTACACGATTGCTTGCTGTAACTTATCTATGCTAACCCCCAAACGACGACGAATCTAACTAAATGACTCAACCAAACACTCACGTGACAAACAACATATGGTTCTTATTCTAACACTTCTCATATTCAGCCTTCCTTTTGTCGGCTTTGGCCTTGTAAGGAGCCTTGTCCTGATTTTAACATACACACAATCAAAGTAAGCGACAGAATGAAAAGCAGAGCATAAGCATGAGCAAAAGGCGGAGCCGCAAAAAATACTCACTGCCTCAGTCATAGCCTTCCACCTCTCGCCGCCAGCTTTTCCGACCTAAACCGGTTTGAGAAAAACGAAACAGATTACCACAGCGCACCAGAGAAATCGATCATTTGAATTAAGCAATCAATCGGTCACAGATCCAAATTCACGGATCGGAATAGTTCTCATTCCGACAGATCCGGACGCAGGCCACAGAACAGAGTTATTTAACTTACAGCAGCGACAGATTTGTTGTTAGGATTCTTTTCCTTGAACTCCTTCCTGAATTCCTCCCTGGTAGCAGTTGGCAGAAACACAACGGTAAGGGCGAGAGCGCAGATTATGAAGGCCAGCCAATCAACAAGCGGAAGGAAGTTGCGGAATCAAACGAATACATGAAGAAAGAAAACCGAAATTGCATACATGAAGACGAAGAAAGCACTGAGAGGCCTCTTAGGCTTGTTTGGATCGTTAACTACCTTCTTCGATCTTCCAGCCGCTTTCGGCTTCAACCTGCACAACAAAATTCAAACGAACATCAGAATCAGTTCCGACGAACGACGAGCGGAAAAAAGAAGAGCAGATCAAAATCAATGGAACTAGGACGCTCATAGATCTGGAATCGCAACGAAGCAACAACCGGAATACAATAAGCAGAGAGAGAGACAAAGAGATGCAACTCATGCGGCGTCAGTCCTCTTGCCAGCCTTCGATTTGACTCCATTCATTACGATTCGATTCCTGCAGAAGCGAAAAGAAGGAGAAGGAATCAGGACTCAACGAGAGCAGGAAAACGAGAAGACCGAGAGTGGAAACGTCTTCCGGCGCCGGCGCAAGGACTCAGTGCTTACCTGCTGTACCTAGTGTTATTTTGAGAAAGAGGCGTGGGAGAAGGAAAGCGGGAGCGAGAGAGAGGAAAATAACGAGGCGACGTGAGCTGAGGGGAGGCTGCGTGAGCGATGGCGGCGACGGGAGGATCGTGGTTTGCTTCCCGCAAGTCTCGTTTTATAAAAAATGAAGAAATTAGATTTTTTTTATTTTTTTAATAAATGTAATGATGAAGTGGAAAATATAAAAGTTTACTTTTTTATTTTTAATAATTTTTTAGTTCCCACATCACTAAGTTAACGGTCAACTTTTAGAGTTGACTGCCACATTAGCAAAAGTTAACGGAGTTGGACGGAGAGTGACCAAACATGAACGGTTTCAGTAAACTGAAGTATCACCAATGGTTTTAAATATTTCGAGTGACCAAACTTGAACGTTTTTTGTAATTTCAGTGACCAACCGTGCAAATGCAATTAACCCTTTTAAATTAAATCGAGGCAAAATTATCATTTTTTTTTTTTCTGTGGGCCGCAAATAATTAAACTACGAGCGTCAAATAGCTATTCATAAAAAAAATCCCTCAACAAATCAGGGGGAAAAGCGAAAACAGGAAATACGGTGCGAAGTCCCGCCTTTCTTGTTTCTGCAACAGCAGCAGCACGAAAAGCGGAAGCTGCGTGTGATTCTCACCTCCGCTACTCTCAGTTCCTCGGTGAGTGAGAGAGCCATTTCCGAATTCCGATCCATCTTCACTGCTAACCATGGTGAGAGCTTCAAAGAAAGCTTCGGCGGAGCAAAGTCAGAACCCGGAGGCTTTAGAGCGGAAGCGATTGAAGAAGCTCGCATTCTCCAACAACCAGCTGGCGGCGACTCCGGCCAACAACTATGCGCCGCTCGCCCCCGCCAAGACTGTGGCGAAACACCACGGCAAGGACATTCTGCGCAAGTCGCAGAGGAAGAACCGCTTTCTCTTCTCGTTTCCTGGTCTGATGGCTCCAATTACTGGGGGCAAAGTTGGCGAGCTCAAAGATTTGGGGACTAAAAACCCTATTCTCTACCTTGATTTCCCTCAGGTTCCCCCATTTGCTTTGATTTTTCCTCGCTAGCTCGTGTCTTATTTTTTCCTTTTGTTGCACTTTAGCCAAGCTCAGTGATGTGCCAGATCATAGTCCAAGTTTGGAATTATAGAATCGTGACCACACTAACACAAGAGAATCCCTGTACTGTAGATGTACCAGGAATTGTAGCCAATCGTCTTTTCTGAACTGTTACATTGGAAGGTTGTAAGACTAGGGCTAGAATGGTCAACGTCATGTTCCTTTTGGTTGACTGGACAGTGAACACGGGGTTTGTCTTTGTTGCTGAAACTGAGCTAGTTCTTCATGGGATTTAAATTCTTTCCCTAAGAGTACTGATTGAAGGAGCTTTAGCTTAGAGAACTTGTAGGTTTTGTTCATATGAATGGTTGTCAAGTTCTGTTCTGAGAATGTTTAGGTTTTGTTTGTAGGGTCGGATGAAGTTGTTTGGAACCATCATCTACCCGAAGAACAGATACTTAACTTTACAGTTCTCAAGGGGTGGGAAGAATGTGATGTGCGAGGACTACTTTGATAACATGGTTAGTTTCATTTGTACATACTTTTTTTTTGCATCTGTCCATTTTCTGTTTAATTTCCTCTCTTTCTATAATTTGAGCTGGTGATCAAGTGTGAAGCAGTGGATATTGATATACCTACACATGATTCCAGATTCATGGCTTCATTTCTAATTGCTTTCCCAGCTTTAACAACTGTCACTTGGATATATTTGTTTCATAGATTGTGTTTGCTGATTCTTGGTGGATTGGAACAAAAGAAGAGAACGCTGAAGAATCCCGGCTTGATTTTCCCAAGGAACTGATTCAGGTTGGTCTATTTCCATGGTAGGCATTTCAAGCTATGTTGTTAATGTGGTTTTTGAGAAGGGCACTAAATGATTAATCCATTTGACCTGTTATCGAACTGGTTTGTATTAGCTGCAGAAAGTTGAATATGACTTTCAAGGTGGAGCTGGTGCCGAGCCAATGAATAAGAAGATTGTTAATACAAATGAAGCAAAGCATGCAGAAGAAGATTCTTCAGAATCTGATATTGAAATGGATGGTTCTGGTGCTATGGATTTGAAGGAAGTTACACCTATACGGCATTCTGAGAGAACTGCCCAAAAGAAAATCAGGTGCTGTCAGTCTCTTGTGTTGTTTTCTCACCTTAGGATTGTTATTGTTCCGAATGTTGTTTGATACTGAGAGAATGAGAATGACCATTCGTTATGTGAGACAATACAGATGATGTTCCTTGGAAATACAGGTTTGGTTAGGTAATATTTCGAACTTGAGTTCAAACTGATCAAGTGATGCCATTAGTAAGGATTAGCTGATTATCTAGTTACGAGAGATCTCAATGATAGTCTAGTGCTGGTAGATATTATCCCCTGCAAATTTATTTCAGTTCCTTGATGAAATAGGTAAGATGAAAGGGCTATTCCAGGCCATTATGCAGGTGATGAGTCATGGAATATTGGAATGTATCTGCCTCTACGTATCCTAATTTACACAAAATATAGATTGGTAGGTGATTCATAGAGTTTATACAATGAATTCCCTGCTTCTCGCCTTTTTCTTATAGTTGGTCTGGTAGAAAGACACATTTCTTGCCATAAAAATTCAGTTTTGTGGCATAATATAATTATAACTGGTCAGTATCAGGGCTATGCTAGTCCTTCTCAAACATTCCTTCTCAGCTGATTGGAACTTATTCTCTTAGGTAGATTTTTTATGCTACGGACTGGAGGAGCTAAGTTGAAGCAGGAGCTGTAATCATTTCAAATGCTAGGATACATACTAGAAAGTCAAGCCTTTTTTTTTATAACTGCTGATATCTTCCGTAAGTATCCAGGCAATGATTTAGCTCCTTAGTGACCAAACCTGAGAGCTATGAATCCATTCTTCACCGGCTTGGAATGGTATTGTGAAAGTAAAATAGTTTTGACCTTTCTGTCAAACTTAAGGATCAGATAATGACCGTGTTTTTCACATAAGAAAATTGTGACTTTCTGATTTGTAGTAACTATCCTTTGATGTCCCTATGATCAATTATATGTAGATCCTCTTTCCTTATGTGTGGATCTAGTGTTGGATGTTTATGTAAAGCATCAGAAGCTGCATATCTGCAAATTATTATTTCTATGTTATCCTTGATGCTGATTAAAGCTACACAAGTATCTCTCCCTCTGTTCTGTTGCTTCCATTACAAATAAGCTGGCTCCTCTTGATCATTCATAAGGAAATAAGTCCTTATGTTAGTTTAAGTAAACCATGCATTCTGCTGATCTTTATGGTTTCCTAAATCAGGTACATTGAGTTTTCTTCTGGCGGTGGTTCTGCAGAAGATGACACTGGCCTATCTAAGGATGAAGAAGAAGAGGAAGAAGAGGAGGAAGAAGAAAGAAAAGTAGGCAAACAACTGGTCTTGAAGTTCTGTTGTACTATTATATTTATTTGGCATGATTTATTATCTATACTTGTGATGTCTGTTTTACAAATGGTATAGGTAAAACTAAGTACTTCCTTTAACAATACTGATTGTCAGGAATCTGAAGAAGTTGGAATTTCTTCTCCAGTTCGACCATCTGAAAAATCAGAGTTGAAACCCAATAAATTATCCAAGCCCACTGTTCCTGCAGCAAAGTCCAATGAAGCCTCATGCACTAATCCTGGCTCACTAGTTCAAGTTACCCTATCTACATTATTCAGCAAAATGCAGGGGAAAAAAAGTGTGGATGAGAAGGTAAGACATATTTCTGCTTGCTTGTGTTTCTGGATCTTGTGTCTTGGTTTTTGAATTTTTCTATTGATCTAGAAGAAAACCGGATCTCAAACTTGTCTTTGTCTCTTTGCACATACAGTCTCCATATTGTAGTGAAAATGGTTTAAGAAATTATGAAGCTTGTCAAAATTAGAAACCTTATAAAATTCTTTAAATAAAGTACAACTCTTTTTGGGATATCCTAAGTGTTTTCCTTTGTGCTACTCTGGTTAGCTCTTCTCCAACAGAATTGCCATGTTGAGCTATACCTTTGTTATCTTAGAATTATTTTTCCTGTTTGCCAGGATACTCCAAAGGATTCACGGAAATCATCATCTTCAAAAGGTTTCTGCTTAACGATATTTGCTTTGTTCACTGAAGAAACTTAGATATTAGAAATCTATACTGATAAAGGGTTTTCTTTCTTGTTCCTTTATGATTCATTCAATTACCCCTTTCTCACTTTTTCTTTCTACCTTCTGGAAATAACTCAGAGCATAGAACTTCAAAAAGAAAGGCTGATCTGGTGAGCAATAGCTTTTCTCCTTTTCTTTTTCCTCTTGTTTCTCCTACAATTTCTGTCTCCAACAGGGACCCTTGTCTGGAAGCTATTGGAAAACCGTGACTTGCTCTGTCACGTTTGTTTGACTTATCGAGGTTCCTGTTTGCAGGCTGATGGATCGAAGAAAAAGGGAAAAGTGACTCAAGTAGAAAAATCAGGTCTCTAGCTTGTGTCTTGTTATCTTCATGTGATCTTTCTCATGCGTATGCGCACACATTTACACTAATCTGATGTTTGATGTCTAGGAAACTTTCATTCAAAGGTGAAATGTTTGTAATGTACTCTGATATTATTTGCTAATTTTGATGTTGTTCTAGGTTCAGGATTGAAGGCGAAGAAAACAGTACATGAGGTAAAGTCTGTATTCTAAGACTTGGGCGTTGTTTTGTTTGGGCTGAAAATAAATATAGAGGAGCCTATTTGGGGATAGGTGGATATACTGAAAGCTGTTAACAACACATAATTTCTTTAATCAACCTTGCAGACTGAAGAAGACGATATTGAAGAATTCTCGAGCTCCTCACAGGTGAGATATTCTGTTAAAGTAACCCTTACACTCCCTTCAATTGCAGAAGTTTCTTTCAAAAGTGAGCCCCACGCTCTGTTTTAAACATATACCATTTGAACAGTGTAGTTTCACTAATGCGTGTCATTTGAACAAAATTATTTGTCGAAACTAACTTCCCCATGTATCATGTTCCTGTGCCTCGAATGTTTTATTCACGATGAGATTCTGCATTCACCATGTGATGATGTCTTGGGATCACTGCACTTGTTGTTTCTAATTTGTTATATGTTTGTTTATTGTTTATATGTCGTATCAGGATGAGGGAGGAAGTGACGAAGATTGGGAAGGCTGAGGAATCATAAAACAAGCTCTATCATCCTTGGAATACACGCAATCTAAAAGTCTTCTATTTTTCTTAAGGAAAGTGAACTTGCTCCTATTTACACAGCAGATGCGAAGTAAGTCAGCCATCCCTGATTACTTCCCATGTAGACAAAGGCATCAAATCCCAGTTAATGAATCTCACAGTACGTGGCAGAGGGAAATGATTCGTGTTAACCTTCCTGTACACATTGAGAATACCATCACTGAGTTGTCTATTCATCAGTGCTCTTCCTAAGATTTTCAGTGTCCAGTTTATCAGTTGTAACATGAATGTTTCTGCATTTGAGACAGACCGTTAAAATGTTAATAGATGAGACATTGCACTTGAAATTGTGTGTTTGTCACCACTAGGGTTAAACTAAACCCTTTTAGTAGGGATGCGGAGATAAAGCGACTCGAACTGTATCAGTACATCCAATCTAACTAGCAAGCAACCTTTTGTACAAATATTTACAATCAAGATAACCTTGTACATAATAATTTAACGTCAATTGATTACCTTACTAGTGAGTAGTGACATATTAACATTTATGAATCTAACAAGCTTTTGACAATCATAATTACAAAAAAATGATAGTCGAATATTTGTGCATGTTAACTAGTGTTAACCTAAATAAAGCAAAATGAAGAAAAAAGAAATTCAAATTTTAAGAAAGGAGAGGCTCTATTTGCCTCTTTCCTGAGCTCTAAACTATTTAACACACACAAAAGTAGTATTTGGAACACTTGCATCAACACAAACTCCTCTAGTAGAATTGCCTGGAGTGGAAGAACTCGTAGTCAGGATGCCAATTCTTCACTAAGTTCTCATCACCTTTGTTTACTGAGGCTCTAGCCATGCAACTTGCTGTCTCTTGAAGTGTTCTCAACCTCTCTTTCAGGACTTGACTAGGTTCCAACATCCCTTCTTCTGTCACCTGGAAATCCATGGCACTGTGCCGTGGTTGAAACCAACATTCTTCCTGCTCAGATCAAAATTCATTCTTTTAGATCATATGTCGATAGACTGTTGAAAGAAGTAAGAAAGACCACTGTGATTTCCATAGAAGCTAAGGCGTCTTATAGTCACCTGAGCATTATAACTCTGGAGACCCACAACTGGGCAAACCATGGTTGGAGAACCAAATTTGGATCTTCTTTCTACCAAATGTCCGAATGAGTGGTATGTCAAGAATGCAGATCGTAAGCTTCCGTCTGGTATCTTGTATATTGGGTACCATGCCACCGAAAACCTGACAATGTTAGAGATCTGTGAGGAAAATCACTCTCTGGTGCACTAGCTTAGTGCAATGAAGATATCTTTGAAAGTGAAAGCCATCTGATCATATACAGGTACTGTTTCTATTACCAGGATTTTTTGTGTAGCTCTGGTAGATTCATAGAGACCAAAATAGATGGGTTCCCGAACATTTTGTGCCCTGCAAGGTCATCACCTCTGGCGAGTTCATGTATCCTGAATTCGAGGATGAAAAGAAACACTATAAAGCTGATAAAATATTGGAAAGCAATATTTGATATTCACTAATGGGATTGTTTTCTTACTTCTCATATAGTGGCTGCCTTAGTTGAGGCCTTTCTGACTCGAAGTACTCGAACAGGAGCTCTGCATCATTTCTACATGCCTTATGCCCAGTTGAAGTTTTAGAAACAAGATGGAGTGAGTCATTGTTCTGTGTATCAGCTTTCCCCTCGCTCTTCCTGAACAACTGAACCGCTGATAGAAAGGGGACAAAGTAAGCACTGAATGAAAGTTTATCAATCCCTAATCTATTCGAGTTGCGATGCTCTTCTGCTCTGACTTCTAAGCCATATATCCCATGCCTCTCGTACCACTGCCATAAAGATTGGAGCGAAATGTTAGGTGTCTCGTCACTGTCAAGTGGAGTATGACAAACTTGGTCGAGTGACCGGGTTTGGCAGCTTGGAGAAGATGAATGAAGAAGTCTTTCAAACTCTGCTATTGGACATCCTGTGGCAACCTCTATTGCTTCAGATGCCAGTTGCATCTCAAATGTATCATGTACCGCTTTCAGTATCCCCTCCAAACCCACAACTTCAGAAGTAGTCAGCTCCTGAAGACGGGATGAGATGACTACGCATGTATTAGCTACACCCTGATTAACTTGCTCTGATCTAGAATCATCTGAATTGCCCATCTTTTGATCACATTCCTCTCTATTAGAAATGTCATCATCGTCAGAAACTTGATCTGGGTAATCAGTGGCAACTGTCGTCTTCTCCAATCCATGAGAAGAGGTGCACTCTGGTTCCCTTACCCCAACGGGTATCCACTTCTGCAGAATAGAGCCAGAGGAGTTATGGCTCTGCTTGTTGAAGTCTGCAGTTTCAACTTCTTTGGTTGTTTGGTTAACCTTATTGCTGGGCGAAGCTTGAGGTATGGAAACTGGGTGCTCTTCCACCTGAAGTTCATTTTCATTCAAGGAGTTGCACAACTCCAACAATGATGCATCCTGACTCTCAGTGAAGTTCTCTGTCATACTATACTCGGGATCGTTGCCAGTTTTAGCAAGATCCGATGCGTCATCTCTTGCAACTTGTGGGGCATGATCTGTTGGTTCAGAATTGACATACTCAAGTCCGAGGGCCTGGAACCCAGACTTGGGGTACCCGTTCTTATAAGACAGCCTCGGAACACATTTTGCCATGTTTTGACCATTGAGACCAAACTTGTGGGGGCATGAGACTCTCAAGCCACGGCAGTTGCTGCATATATCTCGTTTCAAGTGCAGAATTCTCCTTTTCAACTTCTTGGGAGCCTTGTGTTTTGCCTGCCTTCTATCTTCTAATCTGGATGGTGTGCTTACTTTAGACACATCAACATAGTTCCTTTTAAATGAAGCATCCTCTTTCAACGCAAGACCAATCTTTTCTGCATCAGAATCACCCAATTCATTCCTTTGAACCTTCTGCCACACGGAGTAGCTGTTTTCCTTTCCTGTTTGATGACGCAAACTCAGTGCCACAGTGCTTCCAGCTTTTGTCATGGCAGACACACCCTTCTTTGATGCAGAAGGCAGAGCGGCAGTAAGCTGGCCTCTACTTTTCTTTTGAGGTTTACGGAAGCTGACTGCCTTGATCATGATGTCACCTCCTTCAGTTTTGCTGTTGATGTTGCATTCTGCGAGTGATATTTCAGCAGCCAACCTTCCACATGACTCTTCCAACTGTACTTCTAGGACACTCGAGCCGGCAGACGTATCATAGGGTGATGACACATGACGACTCTGCAAGTTCCGTTTCACCTTCCTTCTTGTTTTCCTCTTCAAACTCTTCCTCCCGACCTTATTCCCTGATGGACTCATCTCCTTGCATCCCTTCTGATCAATCAAGCCACCAGAACCATTATCCTCAGCTGCATCCTGATTTCGACCCTCATGCTGCACTCTAGCAGCACCGAGGACCGTAGTTTTTGCTGTACATGAAGAAGTGATGGATTGAGTTGTCGTTGTGGCAGCACCAAACACATTGACAGATGGTGTGGAAACCAGGTACAGATAATCCATTGATATCTTATCTGAGTGAACAACTCTGTAACATTTTTCTCTGTGCGTAATCCTCTGCTGAACAAAGCATTGTCTTCATAGACAGACAATGGCATTCAACAGCAGAAAAGCAACACCGAACTCAAACTTGAACCGCGATTCAACACAACTCCGAGTTATTACAGCCTCAGGTTTCATAGGAGAGTCACTATGTTCCTACCCAGTTTCTTCTGCAAAAGTCTGGCCTCTCAGGATTGATATCTTCGAGAGGCACTCTGCATCTAAGCCTTGGTGTTGTTACTCCTGTCCATTTTGCATCATTATTTTAAGTTAATGATTGTCAATAAGTGGCATGAGTCAAGTTTATCACAATCTACTGCATGTTCTCTGCAAAGAAAGGACTAATCTGTCGTTTGATTGTTATTTAGCCAATGAGTCTTTGTAGATTTACGAGGATTCTGTAACCAAAACCAAATTCAATTGGCTTGGTCTAGGAAGGCCAATCTGGCCAGGTTTGATCTTAAATCCTGAAACTAATTTGGTTCCATGATGAAGGTTTTAAGGTTTTCCTTTCCCACTTCTACGACGAGGAACCTTTAGTCGAAAACTCCGATCAGACCATACTCTTACGAGAAATGGTGAAATTTTCGTATTTTTTTTATTCAACATAACACAAATTGTGTGTAAAACATACCAGACAAGAGAGCTGGCATTGAATTTAGCTCGTTCGATTTTTCGATACGAGAGAAATTCATCAAATATTTTCATAGATTATCAATGAATTAAAAGAGTAAGACGTGCATGTAGCAATTATTTCTTTGACTACTAAGAGCGTAACACAGAAATATCAACTACAAAAATAATAGGCTCTAAGAAATTTGTTATAGAATATTTGAATCTATGTACGCTCAAAATGAAGCTTTTGAGAAACCAATATGGTGTTTAATAAATACCCAAAAATGACATTTTCCAAACTATTTTATCAAGAAAAAGAAAGAAAAAAATTGCCCTAGTGCATTGAAATGCATTTTCTGTTCTGAGGATTCCAAGAAGCAGCAGCACAAGAAGAGGTGCAAATATTTACCTCAATCAAAGCAAGAACAGGGGACTTGGTGGCTGTTGTTGAGACCTAGAAGAAGATACCAAAGCTCAGCAGATGAACCCTTTGAGATTTTAGAAGAATAAACAGGTGAAGGTAAACCCTAAACGATTGAGAGCTCAAAGAATTTTTTTCCAGAAATAAAATAATTATTTTAGAAAAAAACTTTTTTTTTTTTATCCAGAGGCAGAAAATATACATTCTTTTAATTGAATCCCTCAAAAATAGGTGCCCAAGGCCAAGATCTAGGGGCTGACGATCTGCTGCTACCAAATGCCAGGGAATCCCTAAAATTGAATACACAGATATTTTGTCATTTCCATCAAAGTCACTACTACTAAAATTAGAGTCATACATGTTTACAGAGAAGAAAACCAGACGGTTGATTAACGTTTTGCACCGTGTTTGTGGGGGAAAAACATTAAGCTTTTTTTTTTCTCTCAAATAAGGAGAGGGGGAGTTACATGGAAGTATGGTGGAGAGAGATAAGAGGAAGAACGGGAGTTCACACGACATTCAAAATCGACACCCATAGTTATATTATCATGGAGGATCTGGTTAACTTCCAGAGGTGGTAAGTTCAAAAATACTGTAATTAGAGATGAGATTGTACTCTGACAGCAAATTTTGCTGGTATATTAATATTGGGTTATAGGTATAATATGCCCCTATACTATGACGTTTTATCAAACATGCCATTTATTATTTTGGGTTAATACCCTAGTTTGGCCCGAAGTTTGGCGTATATGTCAGTTTTGGCCCAATTTTTCAAATAAGACAGTTGTGACCTACTTTCCAAAGTATTGGACAAATTTGGCATGGGTTTTAAATTGACCGTCAAAATTGACGGTCAATGATTTTTCCGTTAGTGACTCAGTATTTGGTGCTGACTAGGATCTTAAACGTCATCATTTATTAAATTAAAAAAATAAAAACTAATTAAATATATAAATATTTTTTCCCCATGACTTTTTCCACTCTCCTCTTGGACAAACCTCCAATCGCCAAAACCCACTCCCTCGCCGTGATAGATGGTGCCCTCGACGTCATTGAGAAAGGAAGTAATTCACCCCTGTCAAACAGAGGGGAAATCAACAAAATCGCTCCTCCAATTTCAATCCCGACCAGCGCCAGAGGTGGATGAGTTTTGTAACGAACCATCGAAAGAAGACGACGCGAGCAGAAGGAGGGAGGTGTTTGGGTCTCGACGGTAACGATTATCGTCGTCGCGGTCCCTTCTCCTCGATCGATGGCCTACCGGCGCCTTCACCACCAACCTCCTCTCTCTCTCTAATCGACAATCGAGCCCACAAAAAGCTCGACATCGCCGCCATCAACCCAGATCTGGTGCGGAGGAAGCAGATATCGGGGAATGAGAGAGGATCGTTGGAGAGAGAGTTGAAGGGCGGTGGGTTTATAGCAGCGACGGTGTGAGGGAGAAGACGAACAGCCACCAGTTCGTTCGGCTGAGGGAGAAGACGAACAAAACCTGAATCGGGTCCGAATCCATCGATCTTAACGACGACGGAGTGGAATCTGAGGGGACGGCGACCGCGGTGGAGGAACAAGGAAAAAGAAGAAAAGAGCCCTGCCCGCGGTCGAGGACGAAGAAGAGGAAAAGGAACCAGTCACAGTCAAAAGCCCTGCCCTGCGCCCCCGCAAATCTTCTTCCACAGCCGCTCGTTCCACCCCGACGACGTCTTACCCTTGAACGCGCCGGCGTGGAAGTACACCAACACCGGCAGCTTCCTCTTCTCTTTGTCTCGTCTGGGGATGTAGAGGCGGGTCTCGGCGGAAGAAGGGGTTGAATCAGTGGGAATGAGGCGGAGGGAGGAAGAGATAAGGGTAGGACCGTAGGAGGTTGGGGGGTTTTGGGGTTTTTGTTTTCTTATTTATTGAATTAGAAAATTAAGAAATATTTTATTTAATGACATGGCACCATGTATAAGCCACGTCAGTAGTTCTTTGATGAGTCAATAATGGAATAAGTGTTTGACCGTTAATATTAACGGTCAACACAAGTTTCGGGCCAAATTTGTCCAATAATTTCAAAAGTAGGACATAAATGTCTTATTTGAAAAATGGGGCCAAAACTGTCACTCACGCTAAACTTCAGGCCAAACTAGGGTATTAACCCTATTATTTTTTACATCAAATATGCCCCTGTACTTTGAAAAAATTAGAGAACATGCCCTTCTGTTAAAATTTCCAATGAAAAATCATCAATTATGGTTGAACCGAGATTTAGACGACCCGATATCGACAAATGGGAGCGATGATGTTAGTTTTGTCTTTCGTTTTATTTCTCTGGGTCTCTTCAAAGTGAAACTATTTGAATTATTTGGCTATACAAAAGAACAAAAAAAATTCTAAAGTGAAATTATTATGGATATTTTAGACATTTGTGCCGCCCAGACCAAAATTCGATCTTGGTTAATGGTTTTTGGATGAAAATTTAATCAAAAGGGTATGTTTGATCATTTTTACAAAGTACAGGGACATGTTTGATGTAAAAAATAGTAAAAGGACATGTTTGATAAAACGTCATAGTTGAGGGGCATATTAATATTCCTTCTCAATTTTTATAACTGATACTATCCACCCAATCTTGAGCTAACCAATGTCAAATTGCTGCAAGGAGAGTCGAATAAGAATGCTCTAGGTCATTCCTTTTGTTGATAAGTTGGATTGCAAGCTCGGAATCAGACTCTTATCATCAAATGATAGAAAGCCATGGGACTGTATAAGCTCGAGTCCATCACGAATTGCTCATAACTTTGCCATGGTGGTCATGCAATAACCAATATTGGAGCAAAATCCATGTCTTCAACTACCTTCCTTCGTCATCTCTGAGGAGTCCGTTTGCTGAGAGAAATATGCAAATGGCTATTGTGCGTTAGAGGCTGTATGTACATGTCATCCAACAAAATCACCTCTGTAAAACTGATCTACCTCACCTCTAATGGTGACCAATGATACAACCAATAAGAAAGCATGGCTCTGCCATGAGTTGAGGAATTTGAAAGGACAACCAAGATATAAAGATATGAACCTTTGATGTGTCTCAAAGGAAAATCAAGATCGAAGATCATGAAAGTATGAGGTAATTGAGTTGGATATATTTTTGTTCTTTATGCATGTACAAATCTAATTCTTATTTGTTGTAAAAAAAAACTCTAATTCTTATTTGAAACGACTAAGCCTATGATGTTGAAGTATGTCATTTGTCTATCTGATTCACAATGGTCTGGGCTGAGAACACAAACAAAAAGTAATTTATTTCAATAACTCAGTTTATAATTTATGTAACAAAATACTTAACATTTACTAAAGATGTATCTCAGGAAACCTCTGCCATTGTCATTCAATCCAAGACTTCAATACTTCTAGCATTAGGTAGGCCAATAAACTGCTCCATGAAGTAGATGTAGGATAAATCAATATTTGAGAGCAAGGAACTTGCCATAAGTGTTGGAAAAAAAGGAAAAATGGCGGACGAGGTGATTGGCGATGGAATTTCAGCGATAGGAGACACGAAAGAGGCCCTTGTTGTAGATGCTTATGGAGATACAACGAATGGCAGGTTGAGGTATAGTTAATGGGGAGCGGATATGGTGACAACATCATGTTTGTTGTTATTGTAACAACACTAGTCTCCAATCAATAGGAAGTTAGGGTTGTGATGACTTTTAATTAGATGAGTTGATCTAGTGTAAAATCAAACCAGGGGTATAATTGTCATTATGAAAAATATGTTTAAATAATAATAAATTTTTTTTTTTATTTTCGGCCCAAAATTTTGGTCGCCGGAATTCGGCCATCGATCGCCGGAATCTGGTCGCCGGTCACTGGAATATGCCTTTTTGTCGCCGGAATATGCTTTTTATCATCGAAATATGCTACCGTCGCCGGAATATGCTCACCGTGGTCGGAATATGCTTACCAGCGTCAGAATCTAGTCATCGGGCCTGGAATATGCCTATCGGCGCCGGAATCCAGTCACTGACGGTCATCAGAGTTTGGTCAACGATTTTTATTGACCGGTCAACGATCAACGATCATCGGATGTTATGGTCTGCATTGTGAGATTTATGGTTTGGTTTCTCATATTTGTGTATGCTTTTTGTGGTTTGCTTTATTGTGTTTGTGGTTTGCATTAAGAAGTTTCTGGTTTGCTTTCAAAAAAATTGTGGTTTGCTTTATTGTGTTTGTGGTTTGTTTTAATATATTTGTGGTTTGCATAAGAAGGTTTCTGGTTTGCTTTTGTGGTTTGTTTTACCGTGCTTGTGGTTTGCATTAGGAGGTTTCTGATGTGCTTTTGCAAATGTTGTGGTTTGCTTTGTGAGGTTTGTGGTTTTTTTTAGAAGATTTGTGGTATGCATTAGGAGGTTTCTGGTTTGCTTTATTGTGTTTCTGGTCTGCATTAAGAAGTTTATGGTGTGCTTTCGAACAATTTATGGTTTGATTTGTGGGGTTTCTGGTTTGTTTTAATGGATTTGTGGTCTGCATTACGAGGTTTCTGATGTGCTTTCGAACATTATGTGGTTTGCTTTACCGTGTTTGTGGTTTTCAAAATATTTGTGGGTTGCTTTGTGCGATTTCTGGTTTGTTTTGGAGGATTTGTGGTTTGGATTAGGAGGTTTTTGGTATGCTTTTTGTGTCTTATTCTACCATGTTTGTGGTTTGTTTAATGAAGTTTCTGGTGTGTTTTAGAAATATTAGTGGTTTGCTTTCTTGTGTTTCTGGTATGTTTTTCGAGACTTGTACTTTGCAATTGAAGGTTTCTGGCATGCATTTTATGGTTTGTTTTACCATATTTGTGATTTATATTAGAAATTTTTTGGTGTGCTTATGAGATACTTTTGATCTTCATACCAATAACTCCTAAATACATATATAAACACAATAATACATACCAAAACACTAAAAAACATAAAAGACCATCAAAACCATATAAAAACCTCAAAATTCATGGATATTGGATGATTAGGATCTAAATACTTAAATATTAATTAGAAAACTACTTCTTCTGCTCCAATTTCCAGGTCGGCTCTCTCTCTCCCTGTCTATACATAGCTCGTGTTTATGATTCCTACTATACAATCAAGTTGCCATTGGTGTAACTTGTGATTGTTCACATCTACAATCCGACAACCAGGCTCTTTCTCAAGCTCCCTCGTGCTGGTTCGAAGATTACTACGACATTTAGGATGAACCTCGCCTTCGATCCTGACAAGTCCCCTCACTATAAAGTCATCTGCATTCGGAATCCGGGCGTCGAGCAAGACGACGAGGAAGATGACGCTTTCCAGATCGAGGTGTATTCGTCCGAAACCGTGTCCTCTATCAAGCTTTCGATCTCTTCCATGGTTGCTTCTTCAGCGCTACTACTACTTTGACAACTCATACGCAGAGACACAACATTCGGTTTCCCTCCTCGCCGTCGTAGCTGCCAATCAGAAGCCGAGGTGTTGTTGTATGCCGCCATGGATAATCTGGAACATAAGCAAAGAAGACGAATCGCGCAGCAGACGACGGTTAGGTTATCGAAAGTAATTGAGATTCACATGTCCAATCTCTAGTGAAATTGAGGCGAATAGGAAGCGAAACGAGACATTGAGAGAGATGACAATATACTTTCCGGCCGGAAGGGAGGAGGACCAGCGCCACCGGTCTCGCCGTCGATAATTCCGTTTCCGGCAAAGGCGAGAAAGAATACTGGCGGCAGTGGGTTGCAGATCGGTGGGAGAGAGGAGGGATAAGGGAACAGGGAAGTAGCGTGCGGTGTTTATAATTAGTATTTTTTATTTAATTTTATGTTTTTTGTTGGTTTGACATATTTACCCTTGATTTTACTATAACAACACTTCTTGTGTTGTTATAGTCTCCCCACCCTAGTTAATGACCTATTATATGACAAAAATGACAATATCATTTTAGACTAGTTATTGTATCACAAATAGTCCAAGCATGATATCATACCTGAATTAGTATGTTGAGACACAAAACACACACATTTGACAATTCATTGTTGAAAGTACAATGATGGTCAAGACAAAAAAAACTCTGGGTTATAGGATTGATGGAGAATTGAGTATGGTTTGGAGAGAATATATGAAAAATCATATTTTAAGCATAATAATCAAGTGTGGTTTTTTTTTTGTTGTGATTATTACTTTTAATCAAAAGTATCTCTAAACAATCATGATGGTCAATTAAAAAATATCGAGAATAGAGGGGGAGATGTATCTAGTCACGATAGCTGCTAAATTACCAGTAACCATTCAACACATCAAGGGGCAGAGCCAGAATTTAATGGTTAGAGGGAGGGGGTTGGACTTAGTTTAGTGTATTATTGCAAAAGAAAGAAAATAAAAAAAAACCGATAATTTATTATTGTTATCACACAAGACATTATTTGAGATTAAAACAATTACCAGAAATAGAATTTAACCGAGTTTCTAGACGTTATGTTCAAAAGATATTAATAAAGTAAGAAGAAAAAATGAGTAAATACAATTTAATAGCCGAATCTTTCGAAAAACAAAATAATAACCAAACCGTTAACTTTTTATCCAATTGACCATTAGTGGAAAGAATTAAAAATGTAAAGTAAAAGTAACCATGTTTAATTATGCACCCTTTTTTGGGATTTTTCCAAAAGTAGCACTGTTTTAAAAAAAAATTTCTAAAAATAGCACCCAACTCCGAAAAAAGCTCGTTTGGGGGTAGCAAACGATATTTTTTTGGGACGAAGGTGGGACCACACCACCTTCGGCAGTCTTCGACTTGCAAGATCTCGAAAAGTTATGCGGAATCAAAAAAAAATTCGCGACGATCGGATACCCGAACACAAAGATACGTTCGTTTGAAGTTTCCACCTAGGTTAGGATTTTTCAAAAAAAAAAAAAAAAGCAGATCGCATGGTGGGGGTGTTGTCTTGTTTTTGACGAAATCGGAAAAAAGCTCGTTTGGGGGTAGCAAACGATATTTTTTTGGGACGAAGGTGGGACCACACCACCTTCGGCAGTCTTCGACTTGCAAGATCTCGAAAAGTTATGCGGAATCAAAAAAAAATTCGCGACGATCGGATACCCGAACACAAAGATACGTTCGTTTGAAGTTTCCGCCTAGGTTAGGATTTTTCAAAAAAAAAAAAAAAAAAAGCAGATCGCATGGTGGGGGTGTGGTCTGCAACCAAACCGCATGGTGGGGGTGCGGTCTGTAAAACCGCCCCCTGCCAGTGCAGTTTTCATCGAAAAACGCGCCCCCGGGTGGCGGTTTTCGTCTAAACCGCTTGTACGGGTGGCGGTTTTGCAGAAAGGGTGCTATTTTTGGAATTTTTTGGAGTTGGATGCTATTTTTGGAATTTTTTTTAAACAGTGCTACTTTTGAAAAAATCCCCCCTTTTTTCTAGGGGTGTCAGTCGGTCGGTTTCAGTTTAATCGAAAACCGATTTCTCGGTTATCGGTTAAACCGAGCGACCACCTCCGGCTACCGCCCACCGACCGTAAAAGATAAAGCGGCTAGCCGACCACCGATTGGTCGGTTAGCCGGTTTTGGTTTGGTTTACCTCATGCCCGAAAACCACACCCTAAAGTAAAAAAAAATTAAAAAAATCAAAAAATACAGGAACCACTTATTCCTTATCTTTCCTTTCAAACCCTCCACCACGACCACATTCATTATTTGCTCCTTCTCTCTCCACCATCCTTCTCTCTCCTTTCTTTTCCACTTAAGTCTCAAGATTCAAGAAGCAGCCGAGTGATTAACCATAAAAAAAAACAGCTCCGAGAAGGAAGGCTTGCCGCCGACGGGAGAGGGAGGAGCGACCTCGCGAAGCCGGCGGAGGGAGACGGCGTTCGCGCGACGGCGATTGGAGGCGCAGGCGGCGCTGCGCGGCGGGTGGAGGCTGTTGCATGCAGGTCGCGACGGTTGGAGGCGGAGCTGTGGAGGAAGTTGTGGTGGCGGTGGAAGGAGGGGGAGCGGAGGGTGGAAGAATAGAAGGTTGATGGGAGAAGAAGAAGATTTAGGTCGACGAAGGAGAAGGTTGGTGGTGTCTGTGGTTGCTGGTGGTGAGGGAAGGGAGGGGTCGAGGTCGAAGAAGGAGAAGGAGAAGGAGGATAGGGTTTGGGGTGGGCTTTTGGGCGCGGGTTTTATATGGGTCGGTTGGCCTCGGTTACTCGGATAGCCGATTTCGGTTGCTCGGCTAGCCGACTCTCCTACCAACCACTCCGACCACCGACCGAGACTCTATACAGTCGATTTTCGATTAGCCACTAACCGAAGGTTATCGGTCTAACCGTTCGGTTAGCCGCTAACCGACAACCGAACTGCCACCCCTACTTTTTTGCCCATCTCTTACCCCTTCCCTCTTCCTCGCTCGCCAATCGCCACCACACAGCTTCTTCATTTTGCGCCCGCATTGATCGGGGAATGTTATTGAAAGCTCGGCGAGAACCGCACCATAACCCACATCCTAACCAGCCCGACAACCACACCGTCGCTCTACTCCCATATAGTTCTCCTGCTACCTCAACTGGGACTACCTCCAATCCTCTGCCACCACCACGACACCGCCTACCGCCGCTTCCCTTCACCCCCAGTGATGACTGATGAGGATTCTCCCATTTCCTGAAAAGGGCCTCGCGATTCAGAGTCCCGGTGGGTCGACGAGGAGAGAAACCCCCAAATCTAACCCACCCAACACTCCCTCTTCCCCGATGGAGGAGCCACCACCGGCCGGCCCGTACTTTTCCTCGATCAGCTTAACTCGATCACCTCCAAAAAATGAAAATGAGGATACACTCAATTAAGCTTTCAGATCTCCAACTCTCATAGTCACTCTTTCTTAATCAAACAAACCCATTTCTTCATTCATCTCTAACCCTACTTTCACAAATTTACAGAGCAGAAAACATGTAAACCCCTAAATCCCCTCACCTCTCCTCATTACTCCCAGAAAATACCCAAACCTCCACTAACCCCAATATTTTTCCCAGAATACCAAAAAACCCCAAACGTCTACTAACCTCATCACGCCCAAAACCCCTCCTCTATCTCCATCGGCGGCGACCAAAAGGGCTGGGAGATTACTTACGATGGCGGCGCGTATGTACTCGGCCAACAGGGTTTCAGCGGCGGGACAAATACGTATCGTCTTCTTCTTCGTCGTTCGCCTATGGGATTGCGGAGAAATTCGGCAAGCTGGAGGTTCTGGGCGAGGAGGAGGCTGGAGATGAACCCGGAGAGGGACTGAGGGAGGAGGGGGAATCAACTTCGAAGCTTATATCGACATTCCGGAGAAGGCAACGAGATCGAAGGTGTCTCTGCCTATTGTACTTGTTTGTACAGTTTTCATTTATTATGGGACTTCTTTGTAATTAGCTTATACCCGTGTTTCATGTAGAAGGGTATAAGTAGTTTGCTTCTGCCTATCGTCTAGGGCTAAGCAACGCAGACTATCATCAAAACACTAAACCCTAGTAGATTTAATTCTGAGAGCTATGCTCTCCGTGGACTAGTCCCGATCATCGGGGAAACCACGTAAATCTCTGCGTCTCTTTTCTTTTCCGCGATCTTTAACTTGTTTACATGGTATCAGAGCAATAAGATTCAACCCGTTTCTACCTCGTCGTCATGGATCCGGTGAAGCAATGTGAGGAGACTAGCGACGGCAAACCAGTGAGTCTTCTGGATGCTGGTGTAATCCCGATCAGCTCTCCCCTCTATTTGCACCCGTCCGAGAACCCTGCTCAGCTCTTTGGCAGTGATCTTCTCAACGACTCCAACTATGGAGAGTGGGTAAACGACTTAACAGAGACCCTTATCGCCAAGAATAAATTGGCGTTTGTGGATGGCTCGTTTCCTCGCACCGAAGTTGGTTCCCCAACGCGTCAGGCAGCCTGGGATCGCTGCGATGCGACTGTGAAAGGGTGGCTCAAGACGGAGATGACGCGCGAGGTGCGCAACAGCGTTCGCACAGCGACGACGGCGAGGGCCATTTGGGCTGATCTGCAACGCCGATTCAGTAAAGGTTCTTCGCAGCGCGCCTATGAACTTCGTCGTCAGCTCGGTTCTCTTCGGCATGACAAACTCTCGGTGTCAGCCTTTTATACCAAGCTCCGCTCCATCTGGGATGAGATGCATGCGATAGGGGGAGCTTCTGGTTCCTGTACCTGCGGAGGCTGCTCGTGTGATTGGGCGCATCGACTCCAAACGAAGCTTGACACAGAGCGCCTCTTCGAGTTTTTGTTGGGGCTTGATGAAGCCTAATCAGTGGTTCGATCCCAGATTTTGAGCACTAAGCCCATCCCCACAATTGCGGATGCCTATCAAATGGTGTCGGCTGAGGAACAACATCGGGTTATCACTAGTTCCCGTCGCCCAGTTGTGGAAACTGCGGTCTTCCAAGCTCAGACTGAAAAGGATCAACGTGATAGTGATTCGCGTGATGATCGCGAGAGGGTGCGATGCTCCCATTGCAATAAATTGGGACATGCCAAAGAGACTTGCTATTGTCTCATTGGGTACCCCGCTGGCCATCCACGTGCTAAATCCAGTGAGGAGCGACCAGCTTCTGCTCGCAAATCCAAGGCTGCACATGTTGAGCCAGAAGCAACATCTCCGATTCCTGGGCTGTCCGCTGCACAACTTGCTCAGTTGAAGGAATTTTTGGCTTCTTCCTCCTTCGAGTCCTCTTCTCCACCGACAACGCACATGGCGGGTAATTCTCTTGAACTTGACATGTGGTTACTAGTCTCGGGGTGCAATGAGCACATTGTTCGTGACATTAGTTGGATGGATTCTGTCGATGGGTCGTATACTCATTCCCATGTGCAGATTCCCGATGGGACGGGGGTTCCGATCAAAGGCAGGGGCTCGGTTAGGCTGGCTGATTCGGTTCATCTTACCAATGTTTTGCATGTCCCTGCTTTTAAGTGCAACCTTTTGTCGGTTAGTCGGTTAGCACGGGATCATAATGTTGCGGTAACCTTCTTGCATGATTTCTGCGTCATCCAGGTCTTACCTTCCAAGACGCTGATTGGAGTGGGACATCTTAGAGACGGGCTGTATTATTTGCCGCGGCGGACCGGGACACAGCAGTGGTCAGTCTGTGCAGTTTCTCAGTCATTGGTGAGTTCGACGTTGTGGCACACCCTTCTTAGCCATCCGGCTTTGGATAAACTTAGTCATTTGCAAGATTTTATCGGCTGTAAACTTGCTGTTTCGGATACGTTTCATTGTGATTCTTATTCACGAGCTAAACAAGCTCGAACTCCTTTTGTTAGTAGCTCAATCAAGACGAGTGGTTTCTTTGATCTTATTCATCTTGATATTTGGGGGCCATATCGTACACCTGCTATTGATGGGTCCCGCTACTTTCTGACTATTGTTGATGACTATAGTCGTTCCACTTGGGTTTACTTGATGAAGTTCAAATCCGATGTTGAACGTTATCTTCTCATGTACTGTCAGTTGGTTCGGACTCAGTTTGGTCGGGTTGTTCGTCGCATTCAGGCCGATAATGGTCTGGAGTTTCAGACCACTTCCCTCCGTGCGTATTATGAAGAGAACGGGATCGTGCTTCAGACTACGTGCATCGACACTCCACAGCAGAACGGAGTGGTTGAACGGAAACATCGTCACTTACTTGACACAGCCCGTGCCCTCATGTTTCATGCTGGTTTACCGGTTCGTTTCTGGGGAGAGTGTGTACTCACAGCTACTTATCTTATTAATCGGCTACCCACTGCGGTTTTATCCTGGAAAACGCCTTTTGAGGTCATCCTTGCTCGTGTTCCCACGTATTCCCATCTTTGCAGCTTTGGTTGCCTTGTCTATACTAAAGACACGCACCATGGTCTTGACAAGCTTGCTGAACGAGGTCGGGCAGGCGTCTTTGTTGGCTATCCTGGTACGCAGAAGGGGTATCGTGTTTATGACCTCCGAACACGAAAAATATTGGTGTCTCGGGACGTACAGTTTGTTGAACATATATTCCCTTTTCAGCTTCAAGCCACTGGATCTCCTCTACCCACCTCTCCTGCCACGTTCTCTCCTCCTCCCATGCATGCAGATCACGTCCAGGATGAGGAGTTCGTGGACCAAGTTGGGATTCCCTTGGTTGATGATGTTGCACCTTCCCCCATTTTAGAACCTGAGGCCATTTCCTCGGATGATGATGTTGTGCCTCATGAGGAGGTCGAGCCCACTCCATTGGGAGTTGAGGATGGTACTTCACCGACTGCTGGCCACCCTCCTGCTATGTCGCCAGTCCCTTCTCCCGACGCTGCACCTCGCCGGAATCCACCCCGTGACCGACGACCCCCTGCTCGCCTCGACTCCTATGAGGTTAGTCTGCCTCATACCTCCTCCTCTCATGTCTCATTTCCTATGTCCAATTTTGTGACTTACCATCATTTCTCTAAGCCGTATACTGTTTTCTTGGCTGCTGTGTCTCATAATTCCGAGCCTCGGACAATTGCTCAAGCCGTCAAGTATGCTCACTGGCGCGCTGCTATGCAGCATGAGATTGATGCGTTGGAAGCACAGGGCACTTGGACTTTGGAGACTTTGCCTCCGGGTAAACATGCTATCGATTCTAAATGGGTGTACAAAATAAAGTTCAATCCCGATGGGTCTATTGAGCGCTACAAGGCGCGCCTGGTTGCCAAGGGTTTCACTCAATTAGAGGGGATTGACTTTCACGACACCTTTGCCCCCGTGGCCAAGTTGGTGACCGTCCGTGTTCTTTTGACTGTTGCTGCCAAGAAAGGTTGGCCACTACATCAGCTTGACGTGAATAACGCCTTCCTCCATGGCGATCTGGATGAGGAGGTCTATATGAAGCTGCCCCAGGGTTTCGCACCGGCTGGCGATAACCGTGTTTGCCGTCTTCGCAAATCTCTATACGGTCTTCGTCAGGCCTCCCGCAATTGGTACACCAAGTTTACGGAGGCTCTTCTTGAGTTCGGGTTTGTGATGTCCAATGCGGATCCGTCCCTCTTTCTCTACCAGGTGGATGGTGCCTTTGTTGCCATTCTCATTTATGTGGATGATGTTGTCATTACGGTGATAGCTTGTCCGTTATGACGCGGGTCAAGGAATTTCTTAATCAGCGGTTCAGCATCAAAGACTTGGGGGTTCTGAAATATTTCCTGGGCATTGAAGTTGCTCGTTCTCCTTCCGGCATTGTTCTCAGTCAACGGAAGTATGCTCTTGATATGAGCGCTTATCACACTCTTTCTCGTCCGACAGAAGAGCGACTTGTTGATGTGAGCGCTTATCGACGCCTCATTGGTCGTCTACTTTACCTCACAATGACAAGACCCGATATTGCTTATTCGGTGAATCTTCTCAGCCAATTTGTGCAGTCTCCTAGCCCAGCTCACATGGACGCAGCTCACAGGGTGCTTCGGTATCTCAAATCTGCTCCTGGTCAGGGACTTTTTCTCCCGGCCTCTGGTTCTTTGGCTCTTACTGCGTATAGCGATGCCGATTGGGCAGGTTGTCAGTTCAGTCGTCGCTCCACCACAGGTTATTATATACAGCTTGGCGGGGCGCCTGTCTCTTGGCGTGCTAAAAAGCAGCGTATTGTTGCTCGCTCTTCTGCGGAGGCCGAGTACCGTGCTATGGCCAGTGCTACCAGCGAGATCCTTTGGCTTCGCTTCCTTCTTGGTGAACTGCAGGTACCTCAGTCAGCTCCGACGCCTCTCTACTGTGATAATCAGGCTGCCCTCCATATCGCAGCTAATCCAGTATTTCATGAGCGCACCAAGCATGTCGAAATGGACTGCTATTTTGTTCGTGAACGTGTCAGTTCTGGTGATATAGCTCCCTGCAAAGTCCCTACTAAATCCCAGTTGGCTGATCTTTTTACGAAGGCTCTCGGCACGGAACAGTTTCATTTCCTCTTGTCCAAGCTTGGCATTCGTGACCTTCATGCTTCAGCTTGAGGGGGAGTATTGGACTTGTTTGTACAGTTTTCATTTATTATGGGACTTCTTTGTAATTAGCTTATACCCGTGTTTCATGTAGAAGGGTATAAGTAGTTTGCTTCTGCCTATCGTCTAGGGCTAAGCAACGCAGACTATCATCAAAACACTAAACCCTAGTAGATTTAATTCTGAGAGCTATGCTCTCCGTGGACTAGTCCCGATTATCGGGGAAACCACGTAAATCTCTGCGTCTCTTTTCTTTTCCGCGATCTTTAACTTGTTTACACTGCCGGTGGAGATGTTAGACGAGATTGATTTGGGGAAGGTCTCATGTTAAGTCAAAGCAAGATAATTTAGTTTGACCGGTCCAGAGGAGTTGAGCGTAAAGGACAGGATCTAACCCGGTTTAGTTTTCATTTTATCTTTTAGAAATAATAGTAAAAAATAATTATCTATGTGGCAAGGTCAAATGTTTAATTTCTTGCCATGTCATATAAAAATTCCATATCACTAAAGAATCTGCCACATTAGAGTCAAGTCAATTAACGGACAATTGGATGAAAAGTTAACGGTTTGGCTATTGTTCAGTTTTTCAAAAAGTTTGGCTATTATTTTGTTTAAAATAAAATGATTGGTTATTAAATTGTATTTACCCAAGAAAAAATCAATCATACATTTTTATGTATAACATGTTTCTTAGTATTTCTATAACTATGGTCGGGTTGGGTGACTTAATTTAGTGTATTAATGCAAAAGAAAGAAAAAAATTGATAATTTATTATTGTTATAGCACAAGACGTTATTTGAGATTAAAAAAAAAATCACAGGAACTAGAACTTAACCAAGTTTCTAAACGTCATGCTCAAAACATATGAGTAAAGTAAGAAGAAAACACTAATTATACATTTTTATGTGTAACATGTTGCTTAGTATTTATATAACTAAATGGTCAGGTGGTGGTGGGGGGTCGGACTTCATTAATGTATTATTGCAAAAGAAAGAAAAAAGAAAAAATGATAATTTATTATTGTTAATTTGTTATGACACAGGATGTTATTTGAGATTAAAAAAATCAACCGAGTTAGAATTTAACCAAGTGTCTAAACGTTATGTTCAAAACATATGAGTAAAGTAAATTGAAAAAAACTATGGACTTGACTAGTGTATTATTTCAAAAGAAACAAAAATAAAAAGTTGATAAATTATTATTGTTATGACACAAGATATAATTTGAGATTAAAAAAAATACAAGAACTAGAATTTGACAAAGTTTCTAAATGTTATGTTCAAAACATATGAGTATTTTTTTTTTGACAAATACAGAACATATGAGTAAATTCAGAAGAAATAGCTAATCATACATTTTTATATCTAAGGAGTCGAGGGCTCATCTACCTCCATCCATCTACCATAGGTTTGGAAAGGAAATTTGAAATTATAAGTGGGCTAGCGAGGTTGGTAATGAGTGATCACAAGGCGAGAGGGAAAAAATGAATAAGTTATGTGTGACTTTGCCGATGTTAAATTACAAGGTATTAGTGAGATTTACAAAAATGTCCAAGATAGATGACACTCTCAATGAAAAAAAGTTGTTTAATGTTGTGGGGATCTTATCCTACATTGAAGGTGTGTGTGGCCATAATGAGCTTAATATTTAAGATTCTTATTGATATTCCTAACTATTTGTTAGATCTATTTAATTGATTTATTTGTTTTCTATGAAAGGCCATAATGAGCTTAATATTTAAGATTCTTATTGATATTCCTAACTGAGAAATTTTACAATGTTATATAGTATTGGTGCTATAGGTTTTTGTCTTTATGGTACAATTTAAAATTGTACATTTACGTTATGGTACAACCTCAGATTGTACCTATACTTTTTGTACAAATTCTTTTATGGTACAACTTAAACTTGTATCTTTATGTAATGGTACAATTTCAAGTTGTAAAGTTGTACCATAACATAATGGTACAAATTACTTTATGGTACAACCTAAACTTATACATTTAATGTTATGGTACAACTTTGAGTTGTACATTAAAGCACCAATACTATATAGCATAGTAGAAGTGCTCATTCCTAACTATTTGTTAGATCGATCTTGAGAAGGCTTATGACAGGCTTCGATGGGATTTCCTGCGGGATACCCTAAAGGAGATTGGTCTCCCCAACGCTTGGATAAATTGCATCATGTTCTGTGTAGAGAACAATAAAATGCATCTCCTATGGAATGGCGAGCTGTCTGCCCCGATTACTCCCACCCGTGGAGTCCGTCAGGGAGACCCCCTTTCACCCTATCTTTTTGTTCTTTGCATGGAAAGACTTTCTCATAGGATTGATCAAGCTATTCAAGATAAGCTATGGAAGCCTTTGAGACTGTCCAAAGAGGGTCCCATGCTATCTCACCTTTTTTTTGCCGATGACCTTATTCTTTTTGCAGAGGCTGAGAGCGCGCAGATTCGGATTGTCAAGCAGTGTCTTGATGAGTTCTGCCATAGCTCGGGGAAAAGAGTTAACTACAGCAAGTCGATGATGTTTGTGTCTGCAAATATCGAGAGACGTAGTGCCAGAAGACTCGCCCATCGGGCCGGGATCCCCCTTACAGTTGACCTCGGGCGGTATCTAGGGGTGAAGGCGATTCACAGCAGAGTTACCAAAGCTAGATATCAAGATCTCATGCTCCGGATTCAGAGAAAGCTTGCCCCATGGAAAATCAAGCACCTTTCTTTAGCTGCCCGGATCACTGTGGTTAAGTCAATCTCTACTTCTATCTCCATTTATCCTATGCAGACGGAGTTGCTTCCCATGAGTGTGTGCAGGTCTCTGGATAGGATTAACCGAAGCTTCATTTGGGGAGATACGGAGGACAAGAAGAAGCTCCACCTGGTGGGTTGGCCTCAGCTTCTGAAGCCAAAGAAGAATGGGGGGTTGGGCATCCGATCGACGAGACAGGTGAATCTAGCGATGCTTGCCAAAGGTGGGTGGCGCATCGTCAAGGAGAAGGAAGCCATGTGGGTCCAATTAGTAGAGTCGAAGTATGGAAGAGGCTGCAGTAACACAGAGCTTCTGATACATGTTCAGGGAAGTTCCTTTACGTGGTCTAGTTTCACTAAAGCTTCTCACCTTATTAAAGAAGGGTGTGCTTGGAATATTCATAAAGGAAATCGCACTAAATTTTGGTCTGATATCTGGATGGCACAGGTACCCCTTCAAGATCAAGCTGTGAGTCAGATCCCAGCGGAGGAGAGAGATGCTATGGTGGCCGACTATGTCGATGAAGAAGGGAACTGGAGGACGGAGAAATTCGATACTCTACTCCCCCTGGAAGTCCAACGGCAGATTACAGCTCAAGCGGTTGATCCCCTTGCGACTGAGGAAGATACCCTGTTTTGGACATTAAGCTCAAATGGGAGATTCTCTACGAGAAGCGCGTATCACATGCAGCATAGGTTCCCCAGCGACGATCATCAGTGGTGGAAGACGAATTGGCAGCTTGCTGTTCCTGAACGTGTCCGGTGTTTTGCGTGGCTGCTGGCTCAGGGATGGATCATCTCGAATGAGCTAAGGGGACAACGACACCTGACTCAAGACACTTCTTGCTACAGGTGTGTCAACTAGACAGAAACTCTCTTACATCTTTTCAGGGATTGCCCGCCGGCTGCTTACCTGTGGAGTCGCATGATTGAGCAGACATCCTAGCTTGAGTTCTTTAGCGGTCAGTGGGATGAGTGGTTTAGGAAGAATTTAACTAGGGATGAACCCCTGGATGCCGAACTGCCTTGGAATGTCTTCTTCATCATTGCTCTATGGTGCATTTGGAAGAACCGAAATTATGGATCATTCAATGGGGTAATTAAGACCTTGTCCGCCCCGTCTCTGCTCCAGTCTATTCGGATTAAGGCGGACCTCTGGTTCCGAGCTTGGAATTCCCCAAGCTTACTAATCGGCAGAAAGAGTAGCCCTCCTAACCGAGCTAATACCCAGATCGGGTGGAAGGCTCCTCCTGCAGGGTGGTGAAAGCTGAATGTAGTTGGCGCGGCAAGCCAAACGCATGGAACCGCGGGGGCAGGCGGTGTTTTGAGGGATAACAATAGCGAGTGGGTTGGCGGTTTTGTCACAAGCCTGGGCTCTTGCCCTGCTGCCATGGCTTAGCTTTGGGCCATCTATCATGGCCTCAGGCTAGCTTGGAACAGTGGATGCCGAATCCTCATAGTGGAGACGGACTCTCAAGTGGCAATACAGCTGGTAAAACACAGAACAGATCCTCTACATCCCTATGCTACACTTCTCACGGCTATTAGACGGAAGATCGCTCAAGATTGGGTGGTGAATCTAGTTCATACATACAGGGAAGGGAATAGAGTCGCGGACTGGCTCTCGAAGCATAGTCTCGTCTATCCCTACGGTATGTATGAGCTAGAGACACCACCAGAGGAGCTTCAGCCTTTTTTGCAGGAAGATCAACAAGGCCTCACCTACACTAGAAATGTGGTGGTTTCGAACTCTCCTACTCCTGCCTAGTCTATATCCCCCCCTGTAATTCTCTTCCTTCTTTGGCTTGATGCCTCCATTAATGCAAAAAAAAAAAAACTATTTGTTAGATCTATTTAATTGATTTATTTGTTTTTCTATGAAAGGGAACTTGTAACACTGTATCCTGTATTCTTGTTCCTAATATTTCCCTTGACCAATTTATGCTTGGTTTACCTACAATCTTTATATGAAGCGCATAGAAAATGAAGTTGTATTTAAAACTTGTCTTGTCTAAGACCTTTGCTTGCAAAATCTTTATGAATTCCCTCATTTTAATTGGAAATATTTATGGAGAGTCAGTTCCGCTACCCACCTCTTAGCCATTCGGCCGATATTACTCATCCATCTCGCTCTAGTGATGTCGTTCTAGTCCTGTGAGGAAAAAATATTGACGGGGTGAGACATCACTCAATGAGTATATAATAACCTAATATAAATATTCATACGAAAATGATATCAGGATGTTGTGACCCAGAGCATCTTTCGTCCATTATATTCGATGTATATCTAAATTCTAATCACTTAATGACTTTACTTATGTCTCACCTATGTACGCTCATACGAAATTTCTTCCCTCGTTCACTCGAGCTTTTACATATATGTCATACATGGATTGTTTACCACCTTTACTCTACCCTAGGGTTGAAAATTGGCCTGCCCCGCCCCTGACTCTGTCTGACCCGCCCCTAAAGGGTCAAGATATATAACTGACCCGCCCCTATTTCTTTCATGACCCTGTCTGACCCTTTAGGGTCGGGGCGGGTCAGGAAGTGTCGGGTCGGTGGATTGACCCTAATAAATACACTACTTTTCTAAATTACAACTTGGTACCCAAATTTATTTTTTCTTACATTTTAGTACCTAATTTTAATTTTTCTTAAAAATAAGTCCCAAAAATTTGATGGTAAAATTATGTTTTAGTATCAAAGTTTTTTTTTACAATTTAGTATCTAAACTTTTGAATTTTACAAATAGTTCCAACGTGTTGGTATGATGATAAGGGTCATAGGGTCAAAAAGTGACCCTACCCTAAATTGACCCAACCCTACCTAATCCTTACCTGACCCTAAGCCGACCCGACTCTAAGCTGCCCCTACTTTACCTCACCTGGTGTTGCAAATAGTTCATATTTATTCTTATACACCATACAGAGTTTTCCATCATATCCTTACACTTCTAGCAACAGCGCATTATGGAATGTATTATAGACACATAACTTTATACACATCAACATATCGTGGAAGTATCATAATTAAATCAACATATCATCACTGCTTGTAGAATAGTTTCCCTATTAATCATTGTACCACTCGTCATGAAAGATTATCACAAAATATACATCATATAACCTGATATCACATATAAAACACATCGACCTTCACATATTTCATATTTCGTGTAGGGGTTCACATTCTATATATAAACTATGGCAAATACGAAGGTTTGCCATCTCTATCACATATCACACCAATATGAAAAATATTAAGATTGACATTTAAGTACTCATGTTGCAACCAAAATCACCCATGTATCAACATCCAATCACACACATACATATAGTTAGTTGGATTCAGTAGCTTTTATTCTTTAATTTGCCAAGTCATGCACTCCCCGGGATCTCATGAACTCGTATTCTCGTAGGCACAAAGTGGCAAATCTCATAAACTCGTGGGCACTGAGTTCCATATCTCATGAACTCTTAAACTTGAGGGGTCAGGCCTGACATTACTCCTTAAAATGATTTCTCGTATAACTCTTTTTTCTCTTAGGCTTGAAGCCTCTTTTCACTTATAATGAGTGCATGACAGGGCGCCGTTACGTTTGCTTTAGGTGACCATACAAAATCTTATAGTTAGTCACAATTCGATATATCACTTATGTTCCGCAAGGGCCATTTCATATAGCATTCACTTGTATAACTCATAGGCCATTTTTATCTCATCTCGTATAATTGACAATAGGCAACCTTTCTTGCCATTCTTTTCACTTAATAGCCTCAAATGGCATTTAACATATCATATACTCATCACATAATATTTTTTAGAACACACATAACATTTATTATGACCTTCTTCATACCATCATACAATCATTTCATCATATCATCACATTATCATACAATTACCACGATACGGTAACCTCATCCAATCATAGAATCATTCAATCATGTAACCATGCCACATAGCAACCTTCAATCACATTTGCGTTAAGTCTTACCAAGCCATCATATACCTTGTACTCGTACCACTTCATGACCCAAATACCATAATTGTATTAAGATAAACATAAGGTTAGAATTAACTCACAATAAAATTGGTATTAAGCTATTCTGTTTCGCTTAAATGATTCCCTGCTCCGCTTTTCCTTTGAAAAGTGATGTATAAAAGATTCAGTAAAAGAGCTCATGCTTTCCTTAATCACGATTAAGATAACAATTATATTATAATTATCGAAAGTGTACTCATATCTCACATTAGAGGATTCTTTGACCCCCCAGTACACGTTATTCCCTTTCACAACACTCACAAACATATTTAATATACGAATATGCAAGCTAACATCTTATCTTCTGGTAACTAATTATCCATTACATTTAACTAACATGCTTATCATTGACTTATCCAAATTAATAAAATTGGATTCATAACTTTCTAACCACCTTCTTTTAGAACCCATGCATGCACGCCTCACAAGCACATATAAGACACTAGCTTGTTGCCCGGCCCGTTGGCCGGAGAAAATTAAAATACGATATGTTGACCTAAGAAGTACGATGTAGTAAATGAAAAGAATGTTTCTACGACGACTCTAACTTAAAGATGGTGTGAAAAACTCATTCTCAATAGCTTTATGTCAAGTTTGGATAGAAAACAAAGCATGCCAATCTTAAAGGAATTCATATTGATGATTTAGATTCTAGGAAACTCAATGCACATGCATAGAATGGACAATAATGAGACTTCAAATATATATTTGTCATGAAGAAAGCACTGCAAATTCAAAATAGGCTCAACATAGTTTGAGTAAAACAAAGTTCAAATATTTATGTGGCAAAGATGGGTCATCCACAACATAAAACTTAAAATAAAGAAAATTAATAGTAGCTATAAGCTATTCCATCCATATGACTGATGCAACCTACTCCTCCTTAATTAACTTCCTCTTCAGAGGCATACAAACACCACCATCAAGGCTACCATCTCCTTCCTGTACATGCCCGGCTGCAATTGTGGTATCCAGAATGGATTCTCCGTTAGATTGTTGTCCCACGACAGTGATGGGTGAAGGTGAAGACTTATTTCCTTCCTTAGAGTGCTGAGACAAAATGCAGCTAATTAAATTTGTGACAGAAGGTGGAGGCACATTTTGAGGTTAAGGTTCAGTTCGTATTTAGTTAACAACAATACCAAAAAAGCATGATTATGCATAGCAAGCAAATTGGGGAGTCCAACGTTCATAGGTAATCATGTTCTATACTGATGCAACAGGCCAAAACACCACTTAGCAACATGATCCGCATAAGGTACAACACAGGTTGTAACTTTAGTTGTGAAAAAAACAGGACTTTCACTCATAGCCCAATCAGAGACAACCGCAGGAAAATGAATCATCATTATTCATAGGCTTGCTTCTTCAATCATCAAAATAGTTCAGAGTTCAGCATGCAAATGGCATTCCATTAGCTGGAAATTAAGCATCACTACGACATCCATTCCCATCGTTTCATCCAAAGCAAGAAAGTTTATAAATGGAAGCACATACCTGACCAGGTTTAGACGTTTTAGTGCGTAGCTGATGTACCCCTTTAGGCTCAACAATCTTCACGACACTAAATCCATGTCATGGATTTTTGAAAGTGTATGAATTGAGTTTGACTTGTAATGTGACATCTAGCCCTTGAAAGTTATGAATAACAGATGGAACCCCAGTAGGTTGTTGATCGTTCGATGTGTAAAGTTCTTCAGCCGTCTCATCAAAAAAATTACCGGCTGCATGATCCAGCACAACAAAAAGTGCTTCGGCAGATGAGTCTATCACAGACAGCTCAAACCGAAACCTGCAATGGATAAGTAGATGATATTATAATCGTAAATATGTTATAGCGTTGACTAAATAGATTTTTCTCAATATGACCAATAACATGAAGTAGTAAGGAATTCATAAGAAGCATGCAACTTACACAAACCTTTTCACTGATTGAATTGAGCGTACATTACACTTGTCACAGTAGAAATGATCCACTCCAGCACGCAATTTGGAGGAGCATTTCGCACAACCATCATAGTACCAGTTGTGCATGGCTTCACAAACGTTGCCGCTAATAGTGAACACCTTATTCTGTGATGACAAACAAACAACTAAAATCAACAGGTCTGCTTTATAATAATTAAGCATAAATATTTTTGGGCATGGATATAACATGCTCTGTCCTTGATAAAAAAACTTAAAGAAACACCGGTCTACATTACCTTATTGGCAGAGTTGCTAAGCAGGCTCATCAAATCTCCTATGAAAATTGGTGGGGGATCAACTTCTCGTTCAAGAAACCGTGGAGAACTTAATTCATGATTCCTTGCACCACAACTGAACAATTAGTAAATGCATATGTATTTATTTGAACTATGCTTCTGTTATGTTATGTGTATGAACAAACAAACTCGATCAATAATACCTTTGCTGGAAATTTGGTCGCACTTGACGATGATAATTTCACCTCACATGATAAAATCGAATTGGAGGACTACGAAGTTAAGCATCCACTTATTACTACGGTAAAAGATAGTTCAGTTGAACTTACCATTGTACTTTGTAACAAACACAGAAGAAATAACCAAAATGGTTGGCCCGGTACCGGCCGCCAAGATGACTTCATCTAGTTGAGTGATAAGTCGTCCCCAAATTACTAAAGTCACCATAACTCCCCTAAGATTTTTGTTGTTAACCATTAGTCAGTATAATAATAAAGAAGATGCAAACAAACTTTTAAGTTGGAATTTTTAAGTTTAGAACAGTACTCAAGCAACATGATCTTAATTTCCTTGCGAGTAGACCTCCCTCTCAGATTAGTCGTGGTAATAGGAGCCAAACATACCTTCACCAGCCCAACAACATCTACATCATGGGATAGAGGTGGGTATCTCATAAGTTAGTAATTGAACATTGAAAACACCGGTACTACAAACGGAAACATTAATTACCAAGCAAAACCAATCTGTTGTTGATGTTCTTGGGTATGTCAGAATGCTCGATGAATCTGAAGATGTGGCGAGGGATGGGCTGTGTAATGTCCGTGGGGCAAATGGTTGTCCCTGGTTGAAACTCAATGCACAATGGATTCTTAGCAGGACGATACTTCTTGTTGTCAGTTAATTGACTCACTTCTTGTTCTTTAATCTTCGAATCAAATCTCTTGATCAAGTTCCGGGGTACTTGAACCCAAATGGCATCTCCCTGTGACCACGTCCACAAACTAACGTTACAAAATTGAGGTTGGAACATGTCATACATAAAGCTGTGTACCGAAGCTCGTAAATACCTTTGCATCCAGCAAAACCCAAGTCCGATTTTCTTCAGTGGTGAGTTGAGAAATCGAAACACTTTGATCCATTGCTGGGAGTGCCTTCTTCACAGACAGAGGGAGGCTCGAAGTAAGCTTTATATTCACACAACTTGGTAATTTGAGGTTTAGAGTTCACAACTCACCGCTTGAAGTGAACGCAATCGCCTGACAGGTGGAGAGCTACCTTTTCGTCGATGCTTCCCGTCCCATGATGTCCACGTTCGGATATTAGATAGTAGTCAAAGAGATCCGTTATAACCCTCACCATGATCTCCGAATCGAAGGGAAAGGCTACCCACGTTCTGGTCGGCGGATTCAAGTACTTTGGAGAAACCCCCTTTGTGTTCGTCCTTTCTGGGAAACAGAGAAGCGGCGAGGATGCCTGCTGCCTTCCAAGGAAAAATGAAAGGATTGGAATGGTTCAAGTAGGCTAATATTAAGATAGATATTGATGGGCTATAAAACTCAAAAGGCCCAAATAGTTTGTCTTGATCAGGCGAAGCCCCAAATATAATTTTGTGTCCAAAGAATTGTTTACGGTAAACTCACCAAAACGCAGAGTATCCGTCATCTTTAGAAAATTCTTCGATGGATGGGATACGGACTCCCGAGCAACATTGTCTGAAACAACCTCCTATCACAGATCCGTGATCCATCGTTTCCATTCGACTCCTAATCTTATGCCTCTTCACTGATATCTACCTCTTTCTGTTCACTTCATCGTCTCCATGAACATCGATGGTATCCATCTACCCTCTTTTATTGATAAAAAAACTGAAGTCCATCCATTTTCCTTCAGACAAAGGGATCGGAATACGAAATCGGAAGTCCCTCTCCTTGATTTCTGCCTCTGTTGCTCCTCCCCGCCAGACTTGACGGCTCTCGGTCGCGATTCATAACTTCGTCCCTTCACAATTCTTACGTCCTCGGCGCAATCCCCCAATAGAATGTTGGCGTCCGATTAATTGAAAGATGAATCCCGCTGGGTGTCAAGGTGGGGTTTAAAGTCGAGTGCAAAACTACAAAATGGCGCCTCCTGTTGTGCCTTCGCCGATAGTGGAGGTAACCCCCTGAAATCGATGTCCCCTTTCGTTCGTCATTGGATCTATGTCCTCCTCCGGTTGTTAGAGTACTCCCTCTCCATCTTCTCGTTCTTACTCTTAGTCAAATTGGTATGGCGTTTATTCTCCTTTTCTCCCTACGACCCATGACACAAATGTCATGTTTCTTGTTCTGAAGCCTTGATCTCAACGTCAGCTCAATGTAGAATGGAATTCGTAAGCTTGTACTACACTATATTGCCTTCGTGGTAGCTTTTTCATAAATGGGTTTTGGAGTCAAAATTTGTATAACTTATCAATTGATTCACTCAATTACCTAAAATTTGAAAGTTTGACTTATTGCGCTTCGGTTGGATTTGATAAACAGGTGATCTGAAACTCGCTCCTTACTATGTAATTATATCATAATGAGTGTTTATTTAAAAAAAATCATAGGATGATCGATGAAGAAGAGCACTTGTTTCATGATCGCGGTAGAAGGCAAGGGACTGGTTCTCTCTTGTTTGAAAGTGAGGGTCCAGAGAAGGCTACCAATAACGAACCGACAGCCGTTAAATAGAATGAGGTAAGTTCAATTATGTTGCTTACAACATTCTGTTTCTTGGATTCATTGGAACAACCTTTAGGAAATGACTTGTGAGTTGTAATGCATGATTACCAGGAATTCTTCGACACACCTAAAGCCACATGAAGTTTAAGTGCACATCAACATTCCCAAATCCCATTTACAGTTAGGAGATATACATGTCTCTATGGCGAGAGAAGGATTCCAAAGCATCCTAGCTCAAACTCTTTGGAACAACTGACTTCTTGGACCCTGCTATGTAAGTACCAAACTCCCTCGGTTTTATTTAAGTGCTGGAGTCTGTCTATTAACAGAGTGATGTGCTCTAGATTATAAGTAGGTAAAATCCTTCAATTGAAAATACACAAAATTGAAATTAAGAAACCAAATTTAAGGAAATATATTTCATTAACTGAACTTTAAGAAACATGATCAGTACTTAGAAAACAGAAACATGACAGAAAATAGACTGACCAGCTAATTAACACTTGCTGGTCCTAATGTTCAGCTAATAAAGAAAGAAACAGATATGAACACATTCACGTCCCCATAAACCACTAATCCCTTGATGAAACATTATCTACCAGAACAACTTGCGCAGGACTACATCAAATTCATTTGTCAACTGGTTGAAACCACCCAGTTCGACCATCAGCTTGAATGATTGACCCCTTAACGAATCCAAGAGAATGCTGAAGTTCTGGGTCCATTCTCTGTCTGTTCCCTCAATAATACGACTTGCAATCTAGCGTAACTTGCTTGTCGTAAACATAACAACAGCTTCATCAGATCCTTTACGAATATTCAACTGCACCAGAAACTTGAGCCTTGAGGGGGACCAGAAGATATTCACATCTTTCACTTGGGCATCAACAATAAAGTAAATGTCCTGCAATGTAATGAAGAAAAAAGATTGGAATAACCATTGTTTGGGTGAAACTTTACTCTTTTGTTGGTTGTTAAAACAAAGCACATATATAAATCGAATTGGTGATTACTGTCCAGCCGATTGTGGAAATACGTTACCTGGTTATTGATGTCAGTCTTATACATGTTCAGCTCAGGAATTGAAGAGATGATACTCATCCCTATGGCTTCCTCCAAAGTATAGTCAATAGCCAGGAAAGCATTTTCTATACTGTTATTCAATAGGAATGCTTTAGTCACATGATAAGTGCAAGTTCAGTTTACAAATTCCACGTATTTCTGTTCTGCTGTAAACTTACTTATTCAGCAAAGGGTGTTGGTGAGGATAGTGCAAATTGCAGTAGAGTTTGGTGGCATTTGATCCAACACAGTAGTGTTGACCTACAGTCAACGCATACAACAGTTCAGCAATAGGAGTAGCTTTAAAACAATACGTCACAAGAGCTTAAAACAAAAAGAAAGACTAATACCATTGAAATGCTGAACTACCACAGAGGTGAACACAACTGTGGTTCCAGGGTCCGGGTGATGAGGCATCAATTCTTGGAATTGATCAATCAGACCATCCCATAAGATGACTTCCACTATGTCACCCCTAAAGTAAAAAATAACCACAATGATGAATGCACCCAACAAAATGCAGGAATACATGCAATTTCAATCGTAACGTAAAGACAATAAAACTAACTCTAGCAATCTGAGGTCAACAGTTTTTCGCCTTAGAACAGCAACATCCTCGAATAGTGCTTGTTCTGGTCCGGCTGCTACAACCTCACCGATTATATCTGACCAAACAAAAAGAGACAGATTTATTGGGACTGAATAACTAAAACAAAACAAAAAAGCAAAGTTGAGTGTGCATTAGCGTTACCAGACATATAGGCATGGTTGTGGACAGCTTGCGGTAGATCCGCGGCAGCCAAAAAACGGAAATTATACGTCGGTATATCATGCGCATTCGCCACTTCCTCAACCAATGTATCATCACCAAAGCAGATTCGGCGGGTAGAAGGCGAAACCATACAGTGACCATGATAGGAACGAACCACAAAGTTTCTGAAGACGTAAATCCTTCCGGCCTGAAGAATGGGCTGAAACTCTGGTACATGAACTGAGCTAACTAAGCCCTGCATCTCTATTCCCTACAAAACATAGGGCGTTTCAGTTCACTGTTTTATGCTGTATGATTGACGCTATAGCATCTAACGTTAAGACTTGTAAATCTTGGTGAATCTGCACGGCATCTGGCTTCATTGTCCTCCGTAATCGAAGGATCCTGACACAGACAGCGGCGTTGTCTTCATGCAGGTTGAGCTGGGATAGACTGCGGAACTCCATGGATGCTTTCAAACAAATAAAATCTAGGTAATGCTTTTCAACAGTGTGAGAGCTTCTGAGGGTCACGCTTGCCTTTATATAGTGTTCCGATTAGATGTGGTTTGTGCTGGAAATGAGTGAAAGAGTGGATGAACGTGGAGGTCATGGGAATAACCCCCCTAACATCCTGTACCAGAAAGTATCTTAAGAAGGTCAATACTTTTTTGTTTTTTTAATTTATAAGTGAATACTATTATGATTTAATAGAAAATCTTAGTACCCTGAGTAATGTACGGTAAGTTTGTTGTGTGTGGGTGACTGAGGATCATGGTGTCATGCCAGCCGGCATGCCACCGGTTGAACCTGATTCAACCGGTTCCGATCATGAAACCCGCATGACACTATAGATATGACCGACATGATCGATCTGCGAAATTTTAAGTAAAATTATATCGTTTTAGTGAATTTAAATATAAGTACATGTAATTTTATTGAAAATATCACATTGTATTTAAATATCAATACAAATTAGACGTAAATTGTCTTCAAATATGATTTATATATGATTAAATTCATTTGACATTAATGATTTTTGACATTTCTACATATTTTATTAACCGGCATAAACAGGTTGTACCACTGGTAGAACCATTCCACTTGCTAAACCGGCACAACGGTATCAACCGGTTTGACAACATTGCTGAGGATTCAAACTGGTTCCGGTCATGAAACCAACATGATCAATCTGTGAATTTTTAAGTAAAATTATATCGTTTTAGTGAATTTAAATATAAGTACATGTAATTTTATTGAAAATATCACATTTTATTTAAATATCAATATGAATTGTACATAACTTGTCTTCAAATATGATTTATATATGATTAAATTCATTTGACATTAATGATTTTTGACATTTCTACATATTTTATTAACCGGCATAAACCGGTTGTACCACTGGTAGAACCATTCCACTTGCTAAACCGGCACAACGCTATAAACCGGTTTGACAACCTTGCTGAGGATTCAAATTTTGCCACATAAGCCTAAATTTATGCACATTTCTTTTTACATAATGCTAGTGTCCCTAAACTCATATGGTTTTGTCCCGTGTGGTGAATTTGTGCATTGAGCATCCTGTTTCCCTATGAAAGACACCAATATTGCGATGACATGTACCCACGTAATCTTGGTATATTTGCAGCTCCAACGTAATTAGAGGTTATGATGTAGCCATTTTAAGCTGCTAGGAGTGATCCCATTGAACTTATTACTGAAATTTACTACGTGGAAGAAGCTCCATCTTTGGGCTATGATTCCAGCATCATGACGAACCCCTTAATGTGAGCTGGCAGGTCCACTTAAACTCCCTCTTAGATTCCACCCAGCTGGTAACTCCCCTACATCTCTGTCTGCAATCAAATTTCATATACCCTGTTATCTAACTTCAGCTCTGAATTTACTTCGATCTTCTGATGAATTACTCCCATGCAGATGCTTAAAAGTGAGAGAGTGCAGGAAATGGGTGCTGATGAATGTATAATATGTCGCCTGGCCAGCATGTCGTACCCTTACAAACAACAATATGGATCAATCATTACCACTAAACAGTTTAATACATGCACCAGCATTGAGATAACACTTCTGTCAATATGGGGAACGTGTAGCTTGCTGATGCTTCGTAGGGTGGGCCAGCTGTTTCTTTAGACACGTAGGTGTTCAGGTTGGATTATCTATTTATGAACTTGTTGGCATTTTGCCTCTACCCATCTCACAGATAAAATGTAACTGAATTCTCATAGCTAGGATAGGCAAAGAGGCAAGCAAAAATTAGAAATAGTGTTTGGTGTTTGAACTCAGGTTATGTTTATAGCCACGTAGAAACTCAAACGCAAAAAACTTAAGTGAAGAAAATTAGCATGTCCTTGTAAATTTGGTCTCACAAAAAGGTGGCAGTTTTATATGATGTTTTGTTGACACATGTTTCAACTTCCTGTATATATATGAATCAGTAATCAACAACGTCATTATCCCTATCACCTACTTCATTCATTTGCAGGAATTATAACCATATAAGATGAGAACTCCACCAATACTGTACAGATGGAAAAAAATTGTTCGAAAAAGCAGTTAGTTCCATCAATCTAGAATCTCTTTGTAGACAACATTTTGCATAGTGAGTGTATGCTCTCCATTAGTGTTGCAGCTATAGATCTTAATCCCAGCCTTTCGAGTGACACGCGACAATGCTACATATAACTGGCCATGACAAAATACTTGTTTATGCAAATACAGGCCTACATGATGAAGGGTTTGACCTTGGCCTTTGTTGATTGTCATGGCAAATGATAGGGCTATAGGATATTGACGACGCACCAATGTAAAATGGAGACTTTTGTACCGTTCTGATAACTTCAATCTAGGTAAGAATACACGCTCGCCAATACTGGTACCTGTAAGAATTTGAACCTCAATAAACCATGAACCCATTTTTGTTACAACCAGCCTTGTTCCATTAACCAAACCAATACTTTGATCCAAGTTCCTGAGGAGAATAACTGGACATCCAATCTTCAACTTCAGCTCATGATCAGGGAAGTTGCCAACCTTCAAAGAATTCAAAAACTCTGTAGAATAATCACTCTCCATAATATTTGGTTGTCCGGGATCAACTTCAATGGAGTCACTGCTAAGATAACATCTTGGCTCACCAGGAAATTCCAGCAGAACTTGAGAATTGACAGGCGATACAGCTTCATGGTGAGGGGCCAGTATAGCTCGTTCAACCAAATACTTATAATCAGAATAGCATGTTGACAGGTCAGGATATGTTGAGTTGACAACATCAGAAATAGGATCATGTATCGGTTCAATACACAGTTCTGATGGAATTTTAATTGTTGATTCACCAAACACATTTGAATTGATGCCATCTCCAGTTTGTAAAATCCAAGAACTAAAGGTAGAAATTTCTTCAGACTCGGATTCAGACTCTGCCATAGAGCTACGCAGTCTCATGTTCTGCGTCAATTTCAACACTATGATATGTTCCCAGATGTAAGATTTCTTTATGGACGCATTTAGAATTTGATTTCGAGTACCTTTCGGAACAACAAGCAACGTTTGTCGAAAGTCTCCACCAAATACAATAGTCAAACCCCCAAAAGTTCTCTCTGCACTACGGCGATCCTTGATGCGCAATATGTTACGAAGAGTCCTGTCCACTGCCTCAATATTATGTTTATGAGACATGCACGCTTCATCCCAAATAATCAAAGAAGTCTTTTGAAGAAGTTGAGCCAATTCACTACCCTGATCAATGTGGCACGTGGATGTAGAGTCACAGTCAATCGGTATATAGAAACGGGAATGAGCTGTTCTGCCTTCGGCCATTAGCAAGGCTGCAATTCTAGAAGATGCAACACATAACACTATCTTTTTTTCAGACCGCAATTTCAGGCAAAGAACCTGCCACAAGAAAGTCTTCCCGATACCCCCATATCCATCAACAAAGAAGCATTTCCCTTGGTCAGCATTGACATACTGTAATATTGCTATGAATGCAGCCTGTTGATCAGAATTCAGCTTCAGATACATGGCATCAAATTCATGCTTTTGGAGTGCTACATCATAATTAAGTTCCATGGCGATCATACGTTTGCTAAAACTCTGGGCTGTAAATGAAGTTGGAGTTGGTAACCCTGCAATAAGTGACAAAATAGAATGAGATAGTTTTCCTATTTGAAAGACATAAAGTAAGCAGAAGCCTCGTCTTTGGTATCTTTTTAACATAATTGACTAATCTGGGAAATCATATAATGATTTCCAATGCTTTTGTAGTAACTTGTCTATCTCAATAAGACACAATTCCTTAAGTTGATCCGGAGATAATTGCAAGTTTGGTAAATTCAATGCTCTACGCTGACGCATGATAAGATCATCACTAAGCAGTTCCCAGTTCTCCTCCCATAATGTCTTCACATCTGGTACCTGATTGTGCATAAGAATGGTTACGAACAAATTCCTCATTTTAGACCCGGATGCCCAAAAAGAAACTTCCTTAATACAATCAGTCCACTCAGTATCATCAGCTAATAAGCCGAGTGCATAACATGCCTCCTTGAAAGTATCATGTACTAACCCATTGAAGGTACGGATCTCTTCATAACTTCGACATCCTCTCACCACATGAAGTAACAAACGCAGGTAATACCTATCCTTGGCTAAGGGATAACAATAATATAACCTGCCGATACACATTCTCTGCTTTCGTGTCTGCCATCTCTTTAATTTCTTATTCCATGTGTAGTACTGGGGGAATTCAACAAATGTATACCTTCCGAGAAGCATGAGAAGTACGGTTAAGTTCCATCCATCCCAACAACAGTGAGGTTTCCGACTGAAGCAAAGATTGCATGTTTGATCTCTGCGTGGAATACACTTTGTTTTCCCCAGGTAAGTGAAATGAGAGCCGCATAACTGATGGAGACTGATGATAAAGATCGAATTTATATAATCGCCAGCATGCTTCACTGGCCGTTATGTAACGACAGTCCATGAATGCCTTGATCTCATCTATACGTTGAGTTGCAGCCGAAGAACTTCCATCATTCCCTTGATCACATGTCGCTTGATTTGCATGTACCGTCGCCATTGCTCGATCCTCAGGTTTGTTAATATACTTGAACAGGTATTTAATGGCCCTGAGAAATGTACATTACTTGGTTAATCACAAATGCTAATCACACTGATTGGAAAAAGGATACTGCTGAATAAATAATCACTGTCAAAACCACACAACATGTTCAAATAAGAACTTTCCTTTCATTTAAGCATCACCTTGTCAATGTAATAACGTGGCTATTATTGGTTTTTTATTGGTACTCTAATACGTTCAGTTCTAATCCTACACTAAGTATATTTCAAATAGAAATAAAACAAAACTAACATTTTCTTATGGGTTGTCCCAACAAAAAAACCTGTGTAGTGAAGATTGAAACTAACAGTAATTAAAAAGGACGAAAAAATACCTTGACTTATTGCAAAATTCCACATTTATGTGAGCTTGGAACCGCAATAGTAGATATCGATTGTACGGAACCACGAATCGATTATCCAAAGCCACACCTTTGACGTTTACAAATCTGTTATTATTACGTCGCCGATATTTTGCAAACCCATTCTCATCTATAGTTGTCTGACTGCATTATTGTTTAGGAAAGTGCTTAGAGCATTCTCCATTTTTCATGCAAGGCGACTTGGGTCCAGCAGCTCCACAAGGTCCATGTAACATAAAATTACAGACAACCTCATATCCTTCTGGATCAATAGCAGGATCATGAATTTCAGCTGAGATGATTGAATCAATGTCTGTGGTTCCACACAATTTGTCTTCAGCTGCTAAGAAAACCAGAATATGGGAATGGGGGAGGCCTCGTTTATGGAATTCCAGAGCCCTCACATCTGTTGATGAAAAAGGTAAACACCATTAGCAAAGAGGCATAAACATGAAGTATCATAACTGTTAAAAAAAAACTATTAGTATCATACAATTATTTAAGGAACGATGATGGGGCCCTTTTGTAAACATGTATTCCCAACTGTACTTTGACTGTGAAACACGCTAGATAGCATAGAAGAGACCTTTTGTTCTACAGTTTCCCCCTAATTTCCCGTTGGGACCTTATGGAGGTGATAAACAGACACCCAAAGGTTATGCGAAGAGCCTAAAAGCTCCTATCAAGTTCTTGAACAACAAATCAGCAATAAATTAACCATATTAGAGAAAACACAAATAAAAAAAAGACATCAAACAAAGAACAATAAATTAAAACACCATAAACCATACTCTAATTATTTCAATGATGAATTGCATGGAGAAAGAGATAAAACCTACGTGCACATGTCTTCCCAAAAATATGCCGATCCTTGATTTCATACATCAACTGATTTAACTTCATCTTGTACACCCGAGCAATAGCATCAGCACGATTTGGATCTTTTATGCCCCGCAGGGCCAACAGATCACTCATTAATTGAATTTCAGGCCAATTGGCGTTGCATGTAAATGTTATAAACAAATCTGGATAGCCTAGGGAACGACAGATTGCCATTGCATCTTGAAAATTCTCATACTTGTAGCGCGGGCTACCTGTATGCGATGCAGCTAAAATAACATGTTTTCCAGACAATTCCAAGTCTGTGTCGCCTCTCATAAATGAATCCAACAATCCTTGAAAATAATGAGCACGTAATGTTGCCTGATTATTGCGAATCCAAGCGAGTCGTTCTGCTTCAACCAACGCGTAAGCATTTACCATATACTGCTGCAACAGTTTTCCAGCTAACATAAATGAATTTGACTGCTCCAATCGCGTCTGAAGTACATAGCTATAATAATCACATTGGCTCATATTTCGTTGGCCTATACCATTGTCATCATCTCCTTCCATAAATTGACCATCATAGTAGAATAACTCTGGATGCCACCCATCCTCCCCATATGGGAACAAAATAGGGTACTGCAAAGGCATCAAGCTCGGATGGTACATTGAAATTTGCTCCATTTCCAACGTACGATGTTGAACAATAATATCATGCCCAAACATTTCTTCTCCGGCTTCTTCGACAATTAAGGCAGCAATTTCATCTGATGTTGGTAACTCGTACTCTCGTCCGACACCTGCTCGGCGTGCAAGCAATCTTATATGAGCTTGTTGGATTGCCCCTTCGTTTAATCTATCTCTTGCAGTGCAGAACGTTTGAACCAAAATATTATTCTCATCTAACATCGCCTGCAATCCATCGACAACAGACTGACGTAAAGGATTCGCCTCTCTATCTTGATTATAGAAATCCAATCGGTTTCTTGTCTCGTTCATTGTGTCATAGATATAGAGTTGTGCGAACTTGGGGGATGTACCTTCAGGAGGAAGTAAACTGCCAATGCGATGATATATTTGTCCACCAATAGAGTAAACATAGACACCAACTCCATTGTTTATAGAATGATCCACCTTGCCACCAAGCGAGGTGAAGCAGAAAATTCCATTATATCCGCGAATAAATTGACGAAAATGTCGGGCGATTGCAGTACTCCCTTCAAGCAAAGTTTTCAGAAATTCCGGGGGGTCCCTGCGACGTGGCAGTCTAACCTTTCCTTGTTTGCAGCACAATGAAAACAACAAATGTGCCACAGATCGTGTAGAGCTTACACTCTCCAAATACCACATGCTAGCCCCACAAAAAGAACACACACATGATGGTGCACCCACTGTAAAGACCTCAACAGATGGATATCCTACATGAAGAACAATTAACTAATCATTATATTTATTTTACCTCACGTGCTTGACAAAGATTGTAGTTATGTTATTAGGCTGACCAAAAAATGCAGAAAATGATAAAGGGGAATTGGTTGGAAAACTGATTTTGACATTTGAATCGAATTTTCAACAATAACTTCGGACCCGAATGCCATAATGAATGCACAGTAAGATGTTTAGCCATGCTGGATAGACTATGCTTGTCCAATATATAAAGTAAAAAGAGTAATATGCATACCAGATTGGTCCCTGAAGTAATTTTGCCCCTGTCGTTTCTTGTAGAGATGAATGCGCCTCGACATTCTATTGCGTGCAGCATTAACCTTTGTGAACTGGGTTTGTAGAGATGTAACTGAAATTTGTAATTGATATTTATTTAGTATAAATAATTATTCTATTAGGAGTGACAAATTATATGAATTAATTATAGGTAGCGGTGAAAAACGACTATGAAACAAATATATTCACTTACATGTGTCTCCCATATGTGTGGCAGTACGGGATCGCTTAGTTGTAAGTATAACACGTCGTCGCTGTCGCGCAACCCTAACAAAGTTGGAGGTGAGTTTTTCCAGCTCAGCCTGCATTGCCTCTAACTCTGCACGCGAATAAGAACCACTCTTCCAATGATGTTACAATAAGGTAAGAATAATAATACGATCACTATAAAGAATACGAACTTACCTGCTTCAAATACCCTGGGGTCCTTTGGGGCGGGGGGAGCAGTTTCAGGTGGTAAGAAAATGGCACGACCCTTCCCTGCAAGAGATAAGTAGCACAATTAGCTGGTGGATTTCACATATACGGATCAAGGTTTGGGAAACGCTGCAGTAGAGGGATTTGTTCTAGCAACTTATGCATGTACACTTGCTTTCTCAAAACCCCACAAATGTGTTTCTTGGCATGGTCATATGCCTGTTGGCATCTCATCACTGTCGCCTCACCCAGCCAGAAGTACATGCTCTATCTACTCCTGTGTTCAGTTTATAACTCTTTTTTCATATCTATAATCACTGCTTGGTTTATCACTTGGGTTCCTCTGTTCCCCTAACTATTGCAACATGTTTGAAACATATAAAGTTTCCCATAAATTGAAAGGAATCAAAGATTGTTGTCCTGTAGGTAGTCGTGGAAGATGTAAAATTAACAATAATGCAAGGCCTTTTACTTTGTAATCGAACTCGGCTAGTTACGTAGAAGGAGAAATCTTACACGGTACATTGCTTCGATCCAAGTAATCTTCAATATGCGAAGAAGATGACTCCCCGATGCTGGAAGCTACGTCAAGCATAGTCTATATATTGAACCAGATGTAGAGAGAAGGTGGGTAGGAGGGGGATTTTCAATCAGGAGAGTTGCAGTGCACAGAATCGGAGAGTGACGGGGAGAAAGCAAAGGAGGAGGAGCACTGCCGGTGTGAGTGACTGGGGATGCAATCCGGCGAGAAGGTTAGTCCTCTATTTCCAATTGGTTGGCAGCACTTGTCGCTAGGTAGAACATTCCGGAGAGGGACGTGCAAAACGTTAAGGATGCGTTTCGCCGCAGCCGGTGTCAGTGACTGGTGATGATATGCTGGCGAGCAGGTTCGTCCCCTAGTTCCAATTGGTTGTCGGCGCTAGCTGCTAGAGAACGGATCCGGAGAGTGACGGGAGAACGCCAAGGAGGAGCTGCACCGCCGGTGTGAGTGACTGGGGATGCAAGCCGGCGAGCAGGTCGTCGCTAGGTCGAGTGGAGGTTGGTTGTCGGCGCTGGCCACTAGAGAACAGATCCGGAGAGTGACGGGAGAACGCCAAGAAGGAGCTGCACCGCCGGTGTGAGTGACTGGGGATGCAAGCCGGCGAGCAGGTCGTCGCTAGGTCGAGTGGAGGTTAGCGTCGATTAGTTTTGTGTTTTGTGATTTGGAAGATGAACAATTGTTCATTATTTTTTTATTTTTTTGATTGGGTTGTATAATTACATAATTGGGTCTCTGATAATTGCTCTCTGGCCTGGAAATTTAAAATCCTGAATAACTGCTTCTAAGTCCACTATTATATATTTGTAGATAAGCACTATTAGATAATCACTTCACTCCAATTAACTCTTCCTTCCGCCACTTAATCTTGTATAATTGTCAAATTAAGGTACCTCAGATGCTACCTCCTTTTAGTACATCCCACTCCCGTCATTTATCTTACCCCATATCTCCATTTAATTTTATTTTGATATTATATATAGTTCGCATTCGTATGTATATATATATATATATATGGGGAGTTCTACGGTACCCAGGGTGAAATCCGGGATACCGCATACCTTGGGTAAGAAAACGCTATCCAGAACTTGAATTGACTGATCTTTCGGACATGATACTATACTCTAACCCTTAAAGATCAACATCTAGGTCTTAATTCTCTAAATCTTATACCCCAAGATCAATTTAATTAGAAAAAATAATCGACGGTTATGATTCGTCCAAATATAGGCCAAAAATTAATGCACCATCTTAGGGTTTATATTTTATGATTTAGATAATTAGGACCTAGGGTTCACTCATTAAGCGTTGGAGTATAGTATCATGCCCAAAAATACTTCTAATTCGAGGTCTAGATAGCGTTTTTATACTCAAGGTATGCGGTACCCCGGATTTCACCCGGTGTATCGTAGAAGGCACCATATATATATATATATATGTGTGTGTGTGTGTGTGTGTGTGTGTGTGTGTGTAGTAGACTCAAAATTATCCAGATACTTTTCCAGACCTATCTTATCTCGCCTAATATTCATATTAAAAGTGCTACTCGCCTATCCCCCACCCTCGGGATAGAGATCACGCTTTTACCCCATAACATCAAACAACCATTGAGGTTGTTTATCGTTTGATATGTAATATATAAAGAGGGAAATTCTAAGAGGATGCTATTTATTTCTTATCCTCTCCCGCCGCCCCCCCCCCCTTTATGGAGAATAATAGGGTAGGGATGAAAGGATCATAGCTCGATATGTTTTTTTTCTGTTCATCGTATCAGAGGTTATGTTCTTCTTTGACACCAATGGTTGTGATCAGAGGTATTTAGCCCCCGAAAGGGGTTGAGATTTTAGGTCCTTTGGAAATCCAATACACATTCATGATCCTCAAGTTTGGACGAACTCTTGACCAATGTTGTAAAGATTAGGACTTTTTAGTGAGACATTCTTAGTAAAGTTACTTCATTATTGGATCAATTTATTCATCCATATTCAAACTTGACACACACCGTAGCCCTCGTGATGATTAAATTCTATAATCTCAACTCATTTCCATTTTGGATGTTAGTTTTTTTTATCAAGACACTTAAATTGAGTATATTATAGAATATGTATCAATTGTTAATTTTTGAAGTTCAACCCGTGGTCATTGTTTATATGTTGGCTTAGAAACTCAATCTAAGACACTCGCACACATTATCGAGGATTTTGGTCTTAACATGGTCGTTGAATGTGTAATTTTCAAAGATTTTATCACTTATATATTAATATTTGATAAAGAGTGTCTACAATACACACATTTTTCAAGTGCATTTAAAATGTCTTATCATTTGAACAATATCGGTGGATTTCATTTGATTATTTTCATTAACTTATTATCTATACAACATTTATCAATTCGTGTTTCTCGAGTTTGGACGAACTGGCAACCAATTTTGAGAGTTGAGATTACTGGACAATGATACTTGATTGTTGGATAAATATGTTTATCCCAATTGACTATTTTACTAAAAATTGCCAACCTTTATTTGCTAAATGTCTAGGTTAGTAGTTGATGAAACGCGATGTTTATCGTAGATTCTCAACAAAGATTCTCTAACATTCCTTATGTTTTTCCAAGGAATCTTGTATCTCATCCTAGGGTATGAAGTCAAAGTTCGTCAACAATCATACTTAAGTCATTTTGAAAATTTTTGTTTATAATCGTTGACGAAAAGTCTAAGTCTGAAAGAAAATTTTCTTAGCATACGACTTTAGACCTCAATAGAGCTTGCTCAATCAACATGATATAGAACAAATATTATTAATTTGAACTTAGGACACATTATAAAATTATTGCACATGTGATTTCTCTCCATTTGAGGAGTTTAAGGTAGAACATGACGTGAGGAATAAGAAGTCTTTTTTAAATAAATAACTATAACTGCTCGATCAAGATTATACTCTGACATTTTGCTAAATAATACTTATTTTATTTTATAGACATATAATTTACGAATAAGAGAGTGTTTCATTGCAACAAAATATAAAGTAATATATTTTATTTTTCATAGGTAATTGAATGTCAAATGTTTATTTTCTCTCTTTTCATATAATTTTTTAATCAATTTTTTTATTGTTTATGTGTATGTTTGTCTAATTTCCATAAAAATATAACTTATCATTAAATTTTAGCAAAAATGAGTAAAAAATTTATTTCATAAGGTTTAATCAGATATTTTTTATTTAAATAAATGTTGTATATGTTACTTTCTGTTTTCTTATTTATATTTTTTTTACTGGACAAAAAAATTATTATTTATGTGTGTTTGGTTAAGTTTATCAACATGTAACCTACTATTTAAGCAAAAAAAAAGTTAAAAGAAATGGAAATATTAAAGAAGAGAGAGGTAGCTCCATAAATACATTAATAACTAATTTTTTGTTTGTAAAAAAGTTGTCCAACTTGGCAAATTGTGGATCCTCCAAGTGCTTATTTGGCAAGAGATTGCTTTTGAATTGCCATAATATATAGTATAGATAGATAGATATAGATAGATAAATAGATAGATAGATTCTTATTGATATTCCTAACAATTTGTTAGATCTAATTAATTGATTTATTTTTTTCTTTCTATGAAAGGAAACTTCTTTGGAAGCAAGTCAAGTCTGGCACTCTACACCTTCCCAACTTTCCTTTGTCATTTTCTAGAAAAGTTTTTGAGCATGGTTGAAGTAAAGTGTGAGTTGAATAATTGTTATAATTCATTTATACTTGATTATGTTATTATCCATAAGAGATTTTAATGAGAGAAATTGATTTCCACAGTCGAAGTATATGAAGATGAATTTATTCGACGGAAAGGGAAATGTGACACCATATCGCTAGGGTGGGAGAGAGGGAGGGAGATGAGTGGGTTGGAAGATGTGGCAGAATCAAAAGTAAATTAGTAATTCAAGCCGGATGGTCGTAAGTTTATGTTAAATTCCTCCCCCCCCCCCCCCCCCCTATTTTTTTTTGTTGAGGTTAAAATAATGAAGTTGTAAACTAGTAAAATCAGGATGATTTATCTTATCTTATGTCCAACAATAAAAATCGTTCGATTTATCTCTAATTGCTCAAGTAAATATACCCAACTAAGACTTGACTTGCTCTCTGGACTTGGGTTTGCTTGCCTCAACTTAATTTGGTTCAATTAGATGATGTTTGGTGGGTTGTTTGGCATAATCTGGATTTTCATATATGATCAGGCTAAAAGACTCCTAGCTGAAGCATCTAAGTTGAGGAAAAAAGAAGCAACTCTTACTTACTTTCATTGAATCACAACCATAACAACTCTTACTTAGTAACTTTCATGGTTGTGTTTTTGGTAGGAAATTGAGGCACATGGTGTCATTCAAGCTCATATAAGGTTGGTGAAGGAGGATTTGTGATGGTTTTATGAATTTTAGGGAGTTCAAAGAAATTGATGTTCTGCTAGCTATTTGTTGCAGAGATACAGGCAGGTGCAAGTGAAGAAGCCTCCAAGGACGTTCATCTATTCCTCTTACGTGATTTTACTAGCCCCACTTGCCAGCTGCAGTTGCTTGAATTGGACATGGACGATGAGCAGATGAAAAATTTCAAAGGAATACTAAATGCTTGACTCCTTTCTTACAAGCAAGCAAAGCATGATTAATTAGTTTTACATTAGAGCGATACAGATGAGATAGAAATTGAAGTTTTACAAGTTTATTTGAGCTGAAGACCCTTTTTCTTGCTCAAAGGGATTCATGTGGGGTGCTTTTATAAAACATTTATAGTTGAAAACTGTTCTATTGTCGTCTGCTCCTTCTTCCCAATCTTTGTTTATGTTCCTTATTACTTCTTTTTTGTTTGATTTACGTTTTTGTTTTCTGAGCCAGCCTTGTACTGCAGCGACGTATTTTTCTCTCCTGTAAGTAGAACCTTTTTTGCTTGAAGACCCTTCATTGAACTACATTACCGTAATTTTTTTGTGTTGCAAGTAGAGTGTTTTTTTGCTTTATTGAGATGAGTGTGCTTTAATGGTTCAGCCAACGGAAGGGATAACGACTAAATTTTAGATTTCTTGCTACAGATTTGGAGGAGGAAGGTTAGGGGAGAGGACATTAATAGATTATGTTCTTAGGAGAGCTGAATTGATGAGCAAAACACAAGAAAGGAAGTTCTTGCAATTTTTTTTTTGCTTCAATTGGTATATAGAATCCAGCTAAGCAATCCAACAGTTTGAAATCAAGCTTCTTGGCTCTTTTTCCATGTAGTGGTGGAAGCAAATCAATTTTATCTGTAGCTTCTAACTATTCTTTGCTCTTATGAGATGTTATATTTGCGTTAGAAAGCATCTGAACTTATGTTCCCTTTTACTTTCATTGTTTTCAGTTAGTGAATAATTTTTCGAGAACATATGAAGAGATCTCTTTAACCAGCTTCTTCTGATGAGTTTCTTTTTACACAAATTATCTTTTGTTTTTCACGAACATTTTATTTTACTTTTTTCGTTTTGTTTACATGCCAACTGTTTTTTTTTTTTTGCTTCTTCTCTAGCATAGAATGTCACATCATTTGTGTTTATTTTTTCGGGTTTTGCTTGTTTGGCGCGCAACCTACGAATCTTAAGAAGACATTAGCTGTTGAACAAATAACAAAGGAGCTGAAGTTGGTTGCATATAGATTTCCCCCCAAAGATATACCCTCCTTGCTATTTCACTCATCTTTATCTGTACTGTAAGATACAACAATCTTTCATGTCATACGTAGCTATGATTTACCTATTTGCTATCTTCCCGGATCTCCTTCGTTCGTGTCATCGTTTCTGTTTGTAATAGAGATGTGATCCATAGACTACTAAATAACTCGCACGGTAAGCTCTTGACGTTGAATATAATCCAGCAGCAAACTTGTCATTAGAGCTCATATGCAACATGTCTTAGCTTTACTTGCTTTAATTGTAATTGCGTTTTGTATTTCTGCCTTGATCTTGGTTGATTATTACTTCATCTTTGTGCATTCGTCTAATTCAATTCTTTTCACACTTGCAGAGCAGCTAAAACTGTAGTCGAGTGCCAGAAATAGGTTTCTACCAAGCAGCCCAAAAGAGGTTATAATGCTACATTTGAAGAAGAAGAAGAAGAAGAAGAAGAAGAGAAGAAGAAGAAGTAGGATAGAACACTATCTCTTTCTGTATCACTCTTCCACTACAAACTACAAATAGATATGGTTATGTTTCCCTGTGAGAAACTTGCGTTGAAAATAAATTGATTGCACCTTTGACTTCTTTGGACAACGATCACTAAACACGGTTCACGCCTCTTCAAACACAGTTCGAACGAGGGTGTTCGATGTTTACACGACTCTCGAGACAGATCTACATTAAGTTACTCCTACTCCTATGGAGGTTCTGAGAGAGCTCCAGACCTACGACTATTGATAAAAATTTGCAGAGGAAAGACAAGATTGAAAAACTTGACAAGTGGTGTCGAGTGGTAATTTTTGCGGGGGCTCTTCTCTGTCGCTCTATCCTCTTATTTATAGCCTTGAGTGGGTAACTGTCGTAGAAAAACTGCCTCGGATAACTTCCAAAAGGAACTGCCCCCTGCTTCTTCGGAACGTGGCTGAAGCAACGTGGCTGACGTGTCCTTTGAACGTGGGATGAGTAGCAGTTATCTCTCAACCGCTTATGTGCCTCTCTTGAAACCGTCGTAGGAGCTTGTAGCATGCCTCATATATCACGGTCATGGACTTCTTTACTCATGTCCATGGCCCTCTTGGGACTTAGTCTCTAGTGATATGATATTTCATCCCCATGTCATTCTCCTTCGCGTCCATGGCCCCTCTCGTGAGGCGGCATGGCCTCTCGTTTGCACCCATGGACCTCTCAATCATGGACATGGCCTCCCTCATGAAGCAGCAAGTCCTTCCCTATACTTAGAATATTTTCGGTTGTTTGGTTTAAATCATGAGGCGACATTGTCTCTTTATTCGCGACCATGGACTTCTCATTCATGTCCGTGGTCCTCTTGTCTCGTGTCCATGGCCGTCACATATGACACGGCCATGGACCTCTTAATCATCCACATGGCCTTATATTCTCATACTTAGAATATTTTTGTCATACCGGGCCTTCCTTGAGATAGCATGTGCTTCTTTATTCTAGATGGACGTGTTCTTCTTTGATGAGGCGGCATGGCCTCTTCGTTGAGGCGGCATGGCCTCTTCGTTGAGGCGGCATGGCCTCTTCCGGACTTAGTTAAATTTTCCCTCCTTCGGTCTTATTGGTGAGGCGGCATGGCCTCTTCGTTGAGGCGGCATGGCCTCTAGATTTAATACGGACGCAACTCTGTTTGATGATGCGGCATGTCCCTCTTTAGACTTAGTGGCTTGGGCTTAAAATCAATATCCATAAGGCCCAACTTAAACAACATTAATTGTTATAATGGGGGTGGCCTTATAAACTCATTAATTATCTTGTAATTCACCAATGTGGTACAAGCCAACTTTTATGGTGTAAACAAATGCCCCCCAACTACTTAGTGCATAAGGCATATGGACTAAGTAGTTGATATCACGTTACCACTTACCACATCACCTTATACAAAAAAATTGAAACTCTTGACACGCCATTAATTTTCCTTAGCCAAGACTTTGGCTTTCATGGAAACAACCTTACACCCTTTTTCCCCCTGCTGCTTACCACGTGAACCACCCCATGGCCATGCAATAATTGTAGTCTTTGGCCAACTCAATCTTCCATTCGTGATCACCTTGTGGTACTGTGAACTTGAAGTTTTTTTTTTTTTTTTTTTATGGGTGAACTTTGAAGTTTGAAACATAAACATGTGGCCAATTAACTCCTCCGATCGGGAGACTTGCCCAGCCCAAGCAATACCGATCAGCTATTTGCTCCAGCCAACAATGATTCTTCTTTTGTTCCTTTAATTTCCCTAGCCAGCCTCATCATCGATCGGCCCCATGTCCTACTCGGCTACGGCAACATTTTTGTTTTGTTTTTTTTTTTTATCCCCCGATGGCTTCATGCGGCCATGCACCCTTCTCCCTTTCCTTGAAGGGCTCGGCAACTTGTGCAGCCGAGATTTTCCATTAAAATTTTTTTTTTTTATTGTGCTCCCACGATGGCTTCATGCGGCAACCACACCCTTCTCCCTTTCGTTGAAGGTCTCGGCCACTTGTGCAGCCGGGAGTTCCCATTAAATATATATATATTTTTTTTTTACATATAGATATGGGTTTAGAGTCTCCCTCTCCTAATGGGATTCGATCACCACCAAATCCGTTCCATAACAGAAAAGACGTTGGCAATCTCTATTATAAATAGAGTTGTTACCGAGACTTCCTCCTTCACACAGTAAGCAAATCACAGATTCAGCTCTAGCACCATTCCATTCCTGCAAACTTTGGCTCCCATCAGCCAACTCAAAGGTGAGAAATCACTCTCTCTTTTTTTTTTTTCGTGGCCGCTTCTAATTAATGTCTGTTTTCTACTATTCTTTTTTTTTTTTTCACATGGCCATTAAAAATGGCCGCTTTGTTGGCTCAAAATTTTTTTTTTTTTTTTTATTATGGACGTACATATATGTGTGTATATATATATATATATGGCCATTAGGCCATTTTTTTAGGTCCTATCTGCCGGCCACTTTGGTTTTGCACATGCTCGCTCCCTTTTTTTTTTTTTTTTTTTATAAACAACGTCCATACCTTGTAATTTTGTAGGATGTCTAACCAAGAGGAGGAAATCGAGCAAGAACAGCCGCAAGAAGAACTGCCGGAATCCATACGTGCATATCAAGCGGAGTTCGATCTTGTCGCAAAAGAGAAAGGAGTATACATGCAAACGTTGGAATTGGCGGAGAATGGTGATGGATGGCATGGCCCTTACTTTGTCCAATCCACAAGCGATGTCGTGAACCGTCTTAACCGCTATCCACTTGGGCATGGAAGACCACTATACAAGGCGAGGATCCCACCCTCAACATTCTTCGTTCATAACAAAAGATGCAAGAAACCCATCGGATCATGGCCTCAGAAAGATGCGGGCTATAATGCATGGTTCACGCGACTTCTGGAGGATGTGCCAACAACTCGACTGTGGGCTAGTGCTGGGGTTTGGCGGCTGTTATCCTTATGTACGGAGATTCGAGAGCCTGACTGTGAGCTCTTCAAAGCAGCTTTGTGCTTCTGGTCCACAGCTTCCAACTGTTTTGTATTCCCGCTTGGAGCGATGATGGTCACCCTTATGGACCTCACTGCCTTAACTGGCCTGTCATTCGAATCGGCAACTAACGCGGCCATTGATCTCCCTGCGCATCAACCACCCTTTTCGCAACCATCATTCACTGCCCTGCGCCAGCAATACCATCCTGCTGCCGAAGATGCCCCCGTGACCCAAGAAGAACGTGCTGCCTTTATCCACTACTGGCTCTACAAGTTCATCATCTGCCCGAGTTCAGGCACTCCTCGCCAATCTCTGTCCGAACTCTCGTACATGATCGCTGCTGGACATCCTCCTTCCGAATTTGCCGAACTCATACTCGCCCATCTCTACCACGGCATGTTTACACTTCATCACCACCTTGTCACTGGTGCCACCCCTAATGGCTCGGGTCCTCTATGGTTAATGCTCCTGTGGATTTATGCATACTTTCCTTCCCGGCGCAAATATATGATGGGCTTGGAGAAATACGATTCCAAAAAATTTCCTGACTCTTATGGCCATTACTTCATTGAGGCTGAACCCCTGGGGCGAGATTTTGTTGATCACTTCTCATACTTTTATCGGGTCAAAGTGATACCTACATTTGCCCCTTTCAGAAGGCGTCTCATTGGTGCTCGTTCCTTCATCACTACTTTCAAAGAGAAACCTGAAAGCCCTTCTACGTCTTACCAGAGATTTGCCCGCCAATGGAAGAGATGGTTGCAACCCCGGGACTTAATCTTCACCCCGATCGGCGCCAAGAATCCCACGTCCGAGGTCTACAATCCACACTATGCATCGCGCCAATTTGGCCTGATTCAAGCATGGCCGTTGACCATGCCACATTCGCCTCAACTCGCTGATCCTACCGGTCGTCGACACTTGAGCAATGAAGAAACCCAAGATTTGAAGTTGTGGCAAGACGATCTCATAAAATCAGTGAAACCCGGTTTCTTCAAACATACGGAGAAACATACCTCCCGATTCTTCCAGAAGATGTGGCCGCCCAAGGCAGAAGCCCTTGCCCTCTTTGATGGTGATCCGATTCTGATAGCCCAAGGATTGATTCAGAATGTTCCGGCGGCCATTCTTATGAAGGCGGCTCCAACTTCAAGTCATGGAAAAAGGGTACAAACATCCAAGCCTCCAGTCAAACGTCGTCTAGGTATGTGTCTTAGCTTCTATCTCCTTGTTCATCATTTTTTTTTTTAATGGCCGACTCTAATTAGTTGTCATCTTCTTCACAGCCCTTAAAGAAAGCGATCCTCCCTCAAGGCCATTGAAAAAGGTCATTTCTCTAGCAGATGAATACTTTAAGTTTTTTTTTTTTTTTTCGTAGAGGATTCTTATACTAACTCAAAATTTCCCTTCTTTTCTAGCCACAACCCGTTGAGTTAAGTGATGACTCTGAGGACTCCGACATGGGTGGCCGTGGGGAAGGAGATGACAAGACTGGCAAGGCAGATAAAGTGCATGACTCCGACTCGGACGATGCGCCCTCTACCGACTCTGATGACTCTCATAATGTGGCACGTGAGTCTCCCGACCGTGTCGACATGGAGTCTCAAGAGGTTGACATCCCTGCTGATCATACGACGGGTCAAGACACCAGTTCCTTTGACATCCAATTCCAACCTAGTCAGCTGGCCAACGTGGCATCACCATCTGCTTCCCTCACTCCGGCAAAGGCAAACACCACCCAAGCCCCTCCCGGACAACTTGGATTTGGAAGCTTCGTGACTACGCACCTCATGCCCCCTGATGAACACACTACAAGTGGAGTCCCTACGTCCACTTTGTTCACTTCGAACCATGATGCTTTTGCTTCGAGCTCGACCCCCTTGGCGTCCACCCCGGTCATTGGGACTGAGGACTTTAATGAAGACTTGGAGGAGACAATCAATATTGAGGACCAAGCACAAGTTTTACAAGAGATAATGTCTGAAGACGGGCACATGGTGAAGGAGGCTGCTGAGAAAGAGGCGCCTATCATCCCTCCCACTGGCCACACGCACCCGTCTTCCTCTAACCATGCGAGTAGCCCTGTCGATTTGGTAAATATCTTTCTCCCTATCATTTTGTACGTATACTTTTATGTTGGCAACTTTTTCCCGAATTTGTTCACAAGTGGCACCACTTCTTGCAGGGCATGGCCACTCTTGATGAGAACCTTGAGTACCTTAAGGACTTGGAGACTCAATTCCTTGTGAGCACCTCGTCCACTATCAGCAACCCTCCCACATCATACATCAAGAGTGCATTGACTGCTGTTGGAGAGTTCCTCGCCCTCTTGCCAGACGGGGTCGTGGGAGACTTGGATGCTTACTGGCCTCATGAGGCTTTGAACCTCCTTGCTACACTCGAGCTCTATCCTCCGGTTCAAGGAGTAGACATGGAACAAGTGCTAGTGATGCGGAGTGCTGCCTCAGATATCAAGTCTTGGCTCGATACTATTGAACAAGCTCGTGCTATCCATGAGAAATTGGCTCATGAAGAGGAGGCTAAGGTCACCACTCACTCTTCTCTTCAAAAAGAGTTGGCCAAAGGAAAACAAACATCGAGTGAAGTAGCTACGTTCCAAGCTAAGGAGGCTACCCGCAAGGCCAGGATTGCTGAGCTTAAGGCAGAGCTTGAACGTCTTGAAGAGGAAGAGGCTCAAGAACGAGATCAAAAGGAGTCCCTAGCACGAAATCTTAATGAAACAACGGCCACCATTCGTGCTCTTCGCCAGAAAGAAGGATCCCTCATGGCTGTAAACGAGATTGCTCTTCAACGAGCCAAAGCGAGCTTCATGGATCGTGAAAGCAAGACCAAGCTCAACAAGTTGAAGGCTAGCTTTGAAGAAATTCTCAAGTCACTCAATGCTTAATTGTCTTTGTTTTATTTCCTTAACAGTCGGCTTGGACATGGTTTGGCTCTTGATTTGTCGGGTTTTTTTTTCTTTCGGATTTTGTAACTCGTTTTTCATGTGACTTTTAATATTTTCGTGGCCCCTTTGTTTATCACCATGATGTTGTGTTCTCTTAACACCGGACGGCCACTTGATCCGAACAGGGTGGTAGCCCGTTATTTTTTCACAAAGCCCCGTGGCTCACTTAGTCAAGTCTGGCTTCACATAGAAAGCCACCAACTCCCATGTCCTTCACATACAATCTTGTGGTGGTTGAAATCAAACTTAGATTTTTTCCATATTGAAGCCAAACCACTCGCTTTAGGAGCCTAGACGGGTGGCCTCAACTCTCTCAACACTACCACTTTCACCATCAATCCATACGACCACCTAGCCCTTTCCGCCTTCTCATGCGACTTCCCATACGACACACTTTTCCTTAGCCAAAATTTCGGCTCTTTCATAAAAAAACAAACATGGCCTGGCTCTCCCTCGAGTGTCCATCGCTCCCTCAAAATAAACCCATCATCAATTGGAAGGCAAACCCCACAGCCTCCATCTCCCTTGGCTGTTCACGTAAAGAAGTATGTTTCTTTCTTCACCGATGGATGATATTGCACTCAACTTGCTCATACTGCACGTATGCCGCAATCCATCTCCATTGCCATATATGCCCACACCATGAAATCTCTACTCATCGCTTTAGTGTATATACATATATACGTAACTGCTTTAGTATGGCATTCCGGCATCCCAGCCTCTTTTATCTATGAAGCCACATGTCCCCTTCCACTAATCGACCTTGTGGCCCATTGGGGTAACTTGGCATGGCATGGCATCATATGACCTCCACGCCACTCCAAATGCCTTAGTGAAAATCAAGCTTGTCGACAACCCACGTCCCAAAGTGAAGGGACATAAGGTTTAAGATATTTTCCATTAATGAGACGATCATGTAATACCCCATCAATATCCTTCAAAAGATACGCCCCGTTGGGACGGGTGGCATGGACAATGAAAGGACCACGCCAATTTGGAGACCATTTTCCAAACTTCGGGTCCTTGTCCCCGATGGGTAAGTGTAA